TCTTTGCTACAGTGATTACAACATTGGAGTACAACATAGTAACATATCTTTTACAGTTCTCTATGTTGAAAAAGTGACAAAAATTAAACTGCTTAAGTAGAAATCAGATTAAAAAAAAACTAAAACAATACGGATTTTAGAAAAGCGACATCTAACGACTATAAAGAGAAACAGAGGCAGCAACGATGGTTACTTTATAAGAAATCAGATTAAAAAAAAAATAAAACAATACGGATTTTAGAAAAGCGACATCTAACGACTATAAAGAGAAACAGAGGCAGCAACGATGGTTACTTTATAATCGTGTTACGCCTGGTTTACTGTAAAAGTTAATAATTATGCGTGACGTAATCGAAGAAGTATCAAATAAGCGAGTGCGTATTATTATCAAACGACAATTATAAGAGAATTAAATTCTTAATATTATTACGTAATTTAAAAATGAACGAATAAGAGAGACCGATCGATGATCCTCGATAAAAACAGACGAACTTTTCAATCGTCTGCCATCAAAATTCGTCGTTCGAAATCCCAAAATTTGATAAAAATGTGAAGAAAGAAATGGGATTTAATTATTTATTTCGATTAAAATGAAAGATTTTGGATTAAATTTAGTCAGTGTTAGAATCAAAATGAGAATACAACAAGAAAGTAAGTCAATTTATATATCAATTTGCCTTGATTGTTGAATGTTCAGTGCTTTTTCAATGTACTTTAGTCTTAGTTATTAAATGGACTTTAGATCAATCTTCAAATTAATAAATGTAATCCAATTTGATCGAGTCATTTAAGAATATATAAACAGAAAATTGTATAATTAAATTATTCAATCCAGTTTATTGTATTATTTTTAAGTAATATTTCATATAAAGTGATTTGTTTTTAAAAATGTTCTGTTAACAGGAATTTTTATCGATGGAAATTGTACTAAAAATCAATGTAATGCCGACCGATTAATTGTGATCACGGCCGAGAGGTCGCGGTGTCGTCCTACTGCTCTGGGGACCCGGGTTCGAATTCGGACAGGTTGAAAAAACCTTGGAATTTTTTTGGGGGTGGTCTGGCTGGATACTTTGGCCCTGTCCCTCGCCACCTGGCTGCCCTGGCCGAACCCATAGTCTTGCTATAAGAGGCCCTCTTAGTGCCCACAGGGTGGAACGAGTTAAATAAAAGAAAAAGAAAAAAGATTAATTGTGATTGATGGGTGAAATTAGTGATGCTCAAACTGTGATTGTTGCCAAATTGGGCCTGTGGCATGCATTAATCCATCCCATATTTGACATGTTACATTTAACAGGTGGACAATATCACTTAGGGTTAACTGGGATAATTGTTAATTTTTTCTCCCTGCAATGGGGAGAAAATTTGAAGATTTGGTGCAGACTCTTTAACTGGTTTCCTTCGAAATTGCCTAGTTTGCAGTGGCCTTAAGATCTCTATAAGTTCATATAGAGTGCACATGTAAATCTATAGTTACTTAAATGTTTGGCAGTCAGGTTGTGTGTTGCATTTTATAAAAATCAAGTAGGTGACATTGCTTTGTCCATTATGGGGCTTATGGAAGTGCCTAACTTATGAGTCTTGGCAAAAGCAAATAGTTTAGGGATGTCTGCTGAGGCAACTCTTGCCCTTGTCTTCATTTAACTCTTAGCAAGCATTGTACAGTATATGTAAATCTTATGACATGCATCTTGTCAACATATCCCTCAACTAGTTCACAAATCATGTCCTTGATGCATTGTTCTGTGAACGAGTAGATAATGGATATATTGACAAGCTACAAATATGTGTCATGAGAGTTACTTTCCTTATGCAATGCATATGCCATGGAAACCACTGGTTTCCATGGCATATGCATTGCAAGATCACTATTTTAAGAAAAATGAGTACATGTTAATGTACATATTTCCATAATTTTTAATATATATACATATACATAAAGGCCCTAGTAATAACTAACTGTAGTAAACATATTAATGATTGTCTTCAGAGATTATCGGAATTTTTTCAAAGATGGTGTTTTGGAATATTCTATTTTTCAAGATAGCAACAAGCAAATAAGCTGCTTGAACTTGAATTGAAATTTTGTGTTGAAAGACCGTTTTTTGATATGTCCTTATGTTTATAACAGTTTATGAAAGATATTACATTTTTATATTAGTGGAGCATAAAAGTATTGTAGCTGCATATATTTATTTTTCTTAAAAGATATACGCCGACAAAGAAGACATGAGATACACAGAAAAAGAAGACCAAATTTAATCCTTGAAGAAGCAGAATGGATGCAAATTAGCTGTATAGATGTCAGTTGGAAGAGTGAGAATATAAACATTTAATTTTTACATTTTTGCAATTAACAATTTAATATTTTTAATTATAATAAATTTAATTGTGTGGCAAAAAGCCTAATTTTGAGGATAGAGATGAGTTTCATAAATTGTAAATGCTAACAAGTAACATCCGCATTAAGTCCGATTCCTCTCGAGATATGACAGATGATCACTCCCACTCTCTCCACCCCAACAACCGCTATCCACCAAAATTTAATAGCATCGATGCATCCTTACACAAAAGCTACCTTGCCAAATTTCATTTCTTCAACCTGACATATTAAATGAAATAGATGCTAACACACAAACATACCTTTTTTCCTGTGTTTTTGACTTTTTTGGATTCAGGGTGTCTGAAAATGTAGAGATCTGTAAAAAATTTGGAGGGTCAAATTTGACACAATTTCAATAATTTTCCTTGTTATGTACATATAATAGCTGGGAAAATGAAACTCCTCCAAATTGTTCTAGCCTTCTTCAGCTTTACCAATTTTATAATGTTGGATTAAAAGAGTATAAAAATTAGAATATTTTACTTGGAGAAAACAGCAAATGATTTGCTTTCTGCAACAGACACAATCAAATGCTGGCTTACAATGGCCAAATAATAGCCCACAAATGTTTCTTTGCTGGGAACTTAGTGGAGATATAAGGAAGAAGTCTTAGCCAAAATTAACCATAAGTACCAAGCAGTTTTACAATACACTATGGTAGTGGTTCCCAAAGTGTGTGCCACGGCACCCCAGGGCACTGCAGCTTTCTCACAGGGGCACTACGAAATGTTATAAAAGTTTTATAATGTTAGAATTTAATGTACTTGTTAGAATTTGACATAGGACACCTTGGAAAAATCTGCATTTAGCAAGGGCACCTAGAATCAAAAAAGTTTGGGAACCATTGCAGTACAGGATTTGTCTGAGAAAATAAAAGGCAAGTTTCTTTCAGTTGAGCAAAAGTGTCATTGGTATCTTCCACTTTGATGCTGGCTCTCCATTTAGCACAATTTTGCAGTGATTCACTTGCCTTTGTCACTGCTCGTGCACAGTAAAATTGCCTTTAAATTCTTTGGCAACAATCTATTTTTGCATGCCGATTCTGTTACAGCCAATCAACATGTAAGTTGTAACGGTATGCCTAAAACACCCACTATGGGCACCCTAGTGAAGATTTTAAATTAACAATAAATTATTTTTATTTGTAATAGGAATTTATTATTTATACCATGGAATGGTATAAATAATTATTATATGCCTTGATTAACCTTACGCCGCATGTTTACAACATCCCGTGACTCAGTGAACNCTGTCATCTGTCAGTCTGTCTTTTTTTCATTAATCTACAAAGATGAGACCAGATATGAAAACCTTATGGGCAGTAGGTCTTGATTAACTTTATATGAACTTGTGATGTAAACTGAAAGTGATGTTATTTCAATTCAAAATTTTTTCTTGAAAGGTGTTAGATGACTGGCATGTTATTAAAGGAAAAGTATGATGTACAGGGGTAAGCCACTACTAATTTGAGGTGGAGAGCATATACAGCTCTCCCTTAATAGTCCGACAGGTATGGGACCAAAGGGGTGTTGGATTACCAAAAGTGTCCGGATTACCAAAAATAATTACATAATTTGCATTGTTTTGTTAGCAATAGCTTACAATATTTCCTACTCCAACTGTTCGAACAGAACTGCTCACAGAAAACACATGAGATGTGTGTCATCGTGTAAGAATTGGATGGGGAGATTCACGTCGTGACATGCTTCTGTGCAAGCAGACATGTAACGGGGACGGGTACCGCGACAGGAGGTGCATCGGACTACTGAGCATGTCTGATTAAAAAATGTCAGACTATCAAGGGAGAGCTGTATTTTAAATTAAATCAATTTTAAAAAATATGATTAAAAATTGCAGCCTGGCATTGTGATGTCACAATAAATAATTGCTCATTCAAAAAACAAATTGCTGTTATTACTATATTTATTTAGAATTAACCACTCTGCAGTGATTGACAGATATACCCGTCAAGGGCAATCATGTGGCACTGGAGAATGACGTCGATATCTGCAAAAAAATTTTAGCCAAAAATTACCGTGGAAAAAAATTCACATAAGAAGGAATTATGTGACAATAAAGAAAGATTTTTTCTTTACTAGACATAACTGTTTAAAATTTTTTTTTCTGAAATGGAAACAAGAAAAACGCATGGGAAAATTCTTAAAAAATTTCCCACATTTATTCTCCACTGCATTATGATAGTGCTATATCTGACTAACCCTCCCTACAAAGGTTAAACAATTCAGTTATTTTTTATCAACAACAACTGAATTGTTCTAATATTTTTAAACATCATTACTAACTCAACTGTTACTTTATAAATTTGTAGTTATGATTAAAAGTTACTTTTACTAATTATAAAAAATACAGTAGAACCTGTTTAAGAAGTTCTTGCCTAAAAGATTCTTTTTCATAAGAAGTCCAGTTTCTCTGGTCCTGGCATTTACATCATATGTTGTGTGTTAAAATTTCCTGCATAACAAGTTTTCTTATATAAGAAATTCCAAAATATTGGTTCCATCAATGATATTTACCCACTTAAGGAATTTATGTTGGAGACAAATCATAATTTTTTTCCGTACCATAACTTTATCACTTATTAAACTATTAAATTTTTAGTAAAGTAACTCCAGATGTTCACCTCATATTATATATCAAATACATGTACACCTGAGGTGGTTGCTAAATTAACTGGAGTTTTATTCTTTTGATCATACTCCCTATTTGGTGCTGTCCATTAACTATTGACATGTCATATTGATACCAGTTACTTCATCCTCTGCTATAGTCATTACATCTTACTATCCTACTATGTTACACTATGCTATATTATGTTACCTTGATATTGAAATAAAATTGATTATACAGATAAAAAATCATTTCTTTTACAAATCCTGCATAAGAGGTTTTCTCACCTAAGAAGTTTTTTTTTAGAGTGGTCCCTTTGAAAACTTCTTAACAGAGTTGTACTGTATATATTGTATTTTGAAAGAAATTGAATAATATAAAAACAGTCAAACTGATATATAACAGTCACTAAATCATGAAAAAAATTTGCTATAGAGAAATTTTGTTATAAAGAAATATTTTTTGGTAGAGTATTTTTTTTTCATTATTTTACATAATTTAAATTAGTATAAATGTAATATACAGTGATAATTTAACATAAACATAATGTTAATTTTAAGTAAGTTCACATTTATGTGTTAAAATACAAGTTAGTTTAACTATATTTTCATAAACAAATTTTTGTTGCACAGAAGAATTAAATAGTGTTCTTCTTTGTAAATATGCTTCATACTTATTAGAGTATTAAAAATACTTCTGGGCACATTTTCGTAATGTTGCAATCCACTACAAATAATTTGAAATGCCAAACAATTGCCAAATTATATTGGGATATATTATTAATTACAGTAATTACAAAGTAATTTAGCACTAGAGGCAGAAGCTAGGCACTGTATCTTGCTGAGTTTAATAATAATAATTTCAAGAGATGGTGCCTAATGCCTGCATCTAGTGTCAAATTAGCATTTAATTAATAGTAGTAGTAATAAGGCCTAATATAATTTGGCAATTGTTTAGCTTTAATATACAACTATACATTCATTGGGTTTTTGTGGGTCTCTCACTATAATCTTTCTTATCTTGGATTGTTTGGTCAGTTTGGTTACTTTTTAACTTTTCTAAAATTTCTTCATCAGTAGGATACTTAGTGATAATGAAATCTTTGTCAATGTTGAGATAATCATCCAGCATAATATTGATTATAATTTTATTGAATTGGCATAATGCTTCCCATGATTTTTATAAATTTGATAGTGGTAATTCATTGGTTTTATCCCATTCACCAGAATTTTCATTAAATTCTGCTTTGGAAAAACAATTTTTTATAGTGAATTCAATCACTTTATAGTCCACACTTTTGATATCTTAGAAATGCATTCTTTTAAATTAATTTTGTCAGCCATATTGTTTTCAACTCCATTGATCATCATTAAAGCTATCTTACAATAATGGAATTTAAGGTTTTTGATTATGCCATGATCCATTGGCTGACGTTTAGATGTTAAATTTGGAGGAAAAAAGAACAACTCTATACTTTTAAGACTTTTTGAGACTAAAGAAAGATATACTGGATAGTTATCTACAATTAATGCAATTTTTCTACATTCTCTTCTCATTTGTTTGTGTAGTTTTAACAACAACTCATCAAAAATCTAGCTAGTCATCCATGCTTTCTTATTAAAATGATACTCCAAGAGACTTCATCCCTTTGAAACATAATGGAGTTTTGCTTTTTTCAATTACTAACAGTTTCAACTTTTCACTTCTTGTCATATTTGTTCTAATTAATACAGTAATCGTTTATTTGCTCTGCTTTTCACCAAAGCATTGATTATTTTTAAAAATAAGTGTTCTATTGGGTGTACACTTAAATAATAAACCAGTTTCAACTGCATTAAAATGTCCTTTGGCTTATACTTTCCCAAAATCCATTTCAATGTTCCATTCCTTCATTGATTGCAGTCTTCTTCATTAATAGCCATGTTTTTACCATGAACCGCTTATTCAACAATGCCATGCCTTTTTTAAATTTATCTTGCCCATCAGTGTTTGCCTGGAAATGAAGTTTTACTCTTATTGGAAATTTATCTTGCAAATTTTCAATTTTTTAAAATTTTGTACAGTTTTATTGAGCTGCAATTTGAAAAAATTGTAGACCTGTAAATTTCCACTGTCTTTCCTTAATTTTGAGAATGGAATTAGATAGATGAACATCAAGACCAAATATGGAAAACTTTATTTCAATTTAAAACTTTTCCACTGAAAGGAGTTAGCTAGATGACCGGCTTGACTCCATTGCTAATGGAAAAGTATGATGTACAAGTTAGATGCAAATCCTAATTTTTTAAAATTAAAATATACAATAAAAAATTAGATTTGCATCTAACCTATACACTTTTTGATATTATATCAGTTTATAGCTGGCCAATAAGATTTAAAAAAAAAAAAATCATATGGTTTGGGTGTTAAACAGTCTATTGCATTTTCTTGAAAATTTATTCAATATGACATATATCTTTTTGCAATAAACAAATTCATTTCTTGTTTCATCTCATATGTATAACTGATGAAATTTTACTCTTGCTTCTGTTAAGAATAAACAAAAGCAATAAGCTTTTGTTTATTCTTAACAGAACATTATATACTTTTTTTTATATATAGATAAGTTATATATGCATATAATAATTGCTTGAAAATTTTTATTTGCAAATTGAGAATATTTATTTATAGTTACTAGAGCAGTTTTAATCTTGTTCCTTTCATTTTCTGCATAGTTGTTATTTTTTCATTTAGATTTTTGCTGATAAAATAGTTTATATAATTGCAATGTGAAAACTTTCATGAATTCTTACATTTTAAGATTCAAAATGTTTTTTGTAGTACAGTTTAATTTGATAAAAAAGTGTTCATTATAATATATGTGGAATTAGATATGAAACTTGTTTATTATTATAACTCTCTTTAGACATGAATGATTACTTTTAGAAAGCAGAATAAAAGAAACAAGGTCATTTATCTTTATTTGTTTTATAAAAAAATGATTAGTTGCCAAGTATTTCAGAAAACAATAAAATTTTGTTTCAAGTAAATAAAATATTTTAAAAATATGAAATGATATATAAAAATATGTAAATTTATACTGTGTGTACAAATATGAGCTATGTTAATGTTAGTTATAAAATTTATTTAAAATTATTTGAAACCTCTTAAACATATTTCTATTGTTATATCAAGTAAAAGTTTTCAAAGTAAGCCTGGTATGTTCATGTGAAATTTTAAATAAATTAATCAAATTATATTTGTTTTACAAAATAATTTTATTCATTTTGCAATGTTTGATTTAATTTATTATATTACATATAAAATTTTTAATGTAGCATAATAATAAATTTAATTTAAGTAAATAATAATAATTTAATATCTTTGTTTATAATTTTTATGTTAAGGGAAATTTTGAGTTGGTTATATAATGCAGTTTTTATTTTGATTTTTGCAGTTTATACAAATAATTGAAATGATGAATTCATCTAACATTGATGTAAATGTTTTAAGAGTTATAAAAAGAAATCTTGAAAGAGGTGAAAAATATATCCAAGCCTTTATGAGGTGTAATAATTTTTTAATATTTCTTTAAATGATTTATTTATAAATCTACTGGTGTTAATAATTAATATGTATTGTATTTTACAGCATATAAGATTCATTTCCATTTCAGCACAGAATATTTAGGAAAAGTACTTAGTGTGTTTAACTGTAGCCTACTGAAGGCTGTAAGGGTACGTCCTATGTGGCAGCATCCAGCAACTGCGAGCATGAACTTTCTTCTAAGCGGAGTGAACAAACTGGTTCAAGCAAATGTGCGTGTCCAGAGTAACTGCGTTTAGCATGCAGTGGCCACCAGATAACACTTCTACATACATATATATATATTTGTATGTGAAACTTATATTAATATCTACTGCAACAATATATATTATACTTTACATATTTCTGTTAATTGACTATTACTTATTTGTTTACTTTTAAGTTATCAATCTAGCTTATTATTTATAATGCAGATATTCAATGTCATCTGTCTTACATGTAAATTGTTACGGTAATAATTTACAGTATATATCTCATGTAAACACATTGAAGCTCATTACTTTATATTCCTGTGTTCAATTTTAAACATGTATAAACTGGTTATGCTATTGCGGTTCCAGTGATGCAATATTGTTGCATTAATAAAAAGATTGTGTGCGTGCATTTGTGTGCGCGTGCATGTGCAGGAAGCAGCTACCAAGCATATTTGATTGCCTCTTCCACTGCTCGCACTTCCAAAGAAGAAAATGGCTGATTTTGTAGATGAATGAAAACAGAATGACAAATAAATTGTGTATATATGTTGTATGTACTTTAATTAATAATCTTTAGCGTAATTTAATTATTTCTGATTTTGTAAATGTAACTTTTTTTAACTTATTATTTTATAAAGATTATTTATATTTGTTGTGTATCTAGTTAGTGACAACAATTACCTGTCAAATTTACCATTGTAATGCTTGTCATATTTTCCTTAGCAAGCATTCATTGAAGTCGTTTCGCTGCTATTTTGTAAACAACACTCGTCCACTCTAGACAGAAATCGCTCGCGAGTTAGATGCGCATACAAAGATTCTTTCTGCTCGTGGTCGGTGGATGCTGCCACGTAGGATGTACCCTTAGGGAAATTCATTAACTTGTAGGAGATCACATGTAAGGCACAGGGCAATTTTTTTTTTCTATTTCTTTGTAAACAAAAGTTACATCTTGTATGCTGTAAAATATGGTATATTATTGGAAGGAAAGGTGATAAGTCAGATTCAATTGAACTTTTCAATTTTATGAAATACTTTCCTGTTTTAAACATCAGAAATTACAACATAATATATAAAACAATAAAAATGTGAAGGTATATTTAGAACATTTTTAGAAGTTTTTTTTTCCCCTGTAAATATCTTCATTATTTAAAAGTTCTTTTACTTTGAAAAAAGAAAAAATAATTAATTTGGCTTATTTCTTGTTCCTGTAGTTAAGTTGTTCAGTTTTTAATTTTAGATTAATAAGATTTAATTTGCTATAGTTTACTTGGCAACTATTAAAATTCTTATAACTTTCTAGATTTGACTTTTTTTATAAAAAAAAAAAATCTTTCTAAGAAGTCATAAACTTATTTACATGTTTAAAATTTTTGAGGATGTTGTCTCTCTTCAGGTCTTATACAAATAATTAATGAAATGATGACAACAAAATGTGTAATTAAGAGTATGAATATTTAATATAATATTTAATGTACAATAATATACCAAATGGTCAATTGATGTAAATTTAATGATTTTGAATTTTTATAAATACTAAGTTTTATGTCTCTTAAGGAAATTTTTAAAGTTTGCATTCAGTAGATTACATAGATTCTTACAACACAGTGGACATAAACCATCTGTTTTAATTTCAGTAAAATATATTACTATTCAAATAATGATGTGAATTATTGTAATCAATGTTTCTTTTGTCTTTGAATTAGCAACTTTCCTGAATTATAAAGTTTTTATTAAATATAACCATAAGTGCTCCCCTATGTATGAACAGGTTAGGTTCCTGAGGTTTTATTGAGTCAAAAACTAATCTAGAAAGTACATTTGTACACAGAGTAGCCATGTATTGTTAGTGTTCAATTCTTTAATGTATGTAACTCATTTACTTGCTTGCTACTGCTTATTAGTGGGTGTTTCGAACACTGTTTTTTTTCACCTAACATATTTAGTTTTATAATGAAAAGTTTATTTTCCATAGTCATAGAGCCACATTTCTTGCATTTATCTCCACTATTAGATTTACTATTAGGTTTTGGATGCATTTTTGAAGCACTAATTGTAAAAGTTTATAAAAATTGCAAAAGCAAAAAATGCTTTTACTTCAACACCACCTCATTATTTGTGATGATGGAATGTCAAAATTCATGTAAAAACAAAAAATGATGATATGCAGTAGAAATAAATTCGCATTAATTATTTATTAGAAATTTATTATATATTACTGGCCAAAGACTGACTTAAATGTCACACACAACTGGCAAGAGAACTTCAGAATACGTGTGAAATTTAGATTTTAGATATATGGTCAAATTATTTGTAAGTCTGAAAGTTCATAAGGTGAACATTTTTAAGTAGAGGAGTATCTGTATTCTGTAACTCTGATAAGATTATATAATCTTGATCTTTGTGCACATATTTTATTTTTTCTCTTTTAACATATACTCTGCATTTCTTCTACTATTCTTTTACTATTTTCTATAACTTCTATAACTCAAACTGCACCTACTATCATAAATCAAAATGCTCCAAGAAAACCTTTAACATGTTGTTTAATTTTGCTACCAACTAATGTTTTCGGACAACTTCACTGCCTTTCTTTAGGTTCGAAAACAAAACAAAAAAACTTCCTTCAAGATACAAGTTCTTTTTCTTAATGGAAACTTCTAGAATGCTTATCTTTTAAATCAAATCATTGTGGATTTGATTGCGTCAGCTTGTTCTTTAAATTTGCAAATCTGACGATTTTTCAAATGCTAAGAAATGACAAAACACCTGTAGACAAAAAACTGGTTCCAGGAGTATACAGAATACTTTTACATGATAAAAGGTGCCAAAAGGAGCTTTATTATATAGGGGCTACAAAAAGATTGATTAATGAAAGGTTGAAAGAGCATAAAAGGGATATTAGGTATGAACAAGGTCACGGTATTAGTAAATTACATGATCGCAGAACCAGCAGAGGTTTTGGTTGACTGGGATAAAGCAGAACTTATACAAAAAGTTTCAAACATATGGCATCTAAAATATACAGAAGCGTGATATATTAATAAATACAACGAAAACGGGCAAGCCATAAATTTTCAGGAATCATTTAAACTAGCATTGACATGGAAAGCGGTGGATTTGCAAACTTAAAGAACAAGCTGATGCAATTGAATCTACGATGATTTGATTTAAAAGATAGGCATTCTAGAAGTTTCTGTTAATAAAAAGAACTTTCATCTTGAAGGNTTAATTATAAACGATTTATATTTAGTGATGCAAACGGGTAAATCATCAGATGCAAAAACTCCTCCAAAAGTTCTTTTTATTTTAGAATCGCTTGAGGCTAGTCTCCATAACGTGATAGTATCCATCAATAGTCTACAAATACTGTTCTTGACTGATCAATTTCTACAGTATTATTATATTCAAGTAAAAAAATAACGTTTACAGTTTCTAATAATGCTGTTGAAAATTTTAATTTGATCGGTACATTTCCTTGCTCATGTGTGATTCTGATGCTGAACGATCAGGAGTAAGATCGAAACAATATAAAGTATGACTGTCTTTATAATCCTGGTAAGATATATTTGTATATTTATGATGATTAATACATCCTATATCTTCGAATAATGATATAAAATTTCTTGTGTATATGTTATTTGTATGATCAGGAGTATAAGGTTTCGAAGGAATCATTTGGTTGTCTTTTAATAAACATATATAATTTAAATTGTAATTTTTTAAATTGAAAGGATTATATTTTATGTTTCCATTAAATGCCAAATTAGAAACTAAACTGATTGTCATTCTATAAGGTAATTGACCAATTACGTCATTAGATATATTAGTAGATTGTATTCCACTACTTAAAGTAAAGACTTTTATATCGGTTCTTCTAAACAATATTTTTATGACTCCTGTTTGTAATGCTTTTTCTATACCAATTTGGATTGACGAACTAACGTCTACTTTATTAATTTTTAGAGATGCATTTTTAATAATTTTATAATTATCATTATTTGCCATTAAAGCAAAATTATCCTTAGATCTTTCCAATTTAATTCTTAAATCTACATTATTAATTAACAGTTTAGGTTGATGCAACAAGTCAATATGAAGTCGTCCAACTAAATCTATTAGTTTACTTTGTTTACTAATATTAAATCTTTTAGTCAATCCTTCATTATGTTCATCTATTGAATCCATATATTGTGCAGTATCTTTATAAAATAATGCACTCGTTAGAAATGTTTTTTGCACTTCCTTTGAATAAAATAAGGCATCTAAAATCTCACAGTACGGATAGTTGGTTTGAGCAATAATTTGCTTGTCATTTAGAAAGACAGTGCATTGAGAAAACAAACTGTTTAAAAAATTAACAGGAGCTACTTTTTCATCAGGTGGGATATCTGTTCCATCCTTTTTTAACAATTTTTGCTTGGACATGGAGATAAATTGAATGCAAGTCAATATAATTTTCACCAGAACCGGATACATAAAATTCGATTGGAGCACGATTGTCTGAAATTGTTGTAACAGGATAAACTATAACTTCCGAGGTATTGTCAACTGCTAGCTGAGTCGAAATCGTACTAAATAAGTCCAGTTCGCTTTTGGTACAAGGACACAAATTAGAATCCAGTTTTTCTTATTTTGTGAATATATCTTGTACTTTCCATCTTTTATTCTGCGACTGGGCTAATCTTTTCATTTGTTTTCTTTTTATACCCAATCCATCCTGTACTTTTTTAACTACACCATCTTTGATTTCGGATGTAACGTCTTTTAAATGTGATTTTGCTGATTCTTTAAACGATTTCCTTGCAATTACGTCTGACCCGACACCTGAAGCAAAATTTAATGTTTTTCATCCTAGATATTTTCCAACTTTACTCAAAATAGGTATAGATTCACGAAATAAATCTCCAAAAAATCCTTATCTTCGTTGAATTTGAGGTCCTGCAAAATAACTCCCTCCTGGCATTTGTTTCCTGATGTATAAATCTGGAGTCCATAGTGTTCCTCCTGCTTGATTGCAGTAATAATTTATACAAACTTTAGGATCGATCTTCATTTTGTACTTCTCACAGATGAACTAACATTAGCAAATAAAACTTGACAGTATTTACAACTGTTTAAAAGATAAAACTAATAACGTTTTTCCACCAAAAAATATGATTTCTTTTCCACTTGCAGATCTCAGTTCAATTTCTATAGAATCTATATAATTTTTCTTTACAGGAAAATACAAAGGTGTTGGATAAACCCTAACTATCTGATCTTCTTTCTCTCCCATAACAGGTATAACTCTTAATAATGGAGCACTTATATCTCCAACGCGATGAGAAGAGATAATATTCGAATAAATAAAAATTTCTGAAATTCCAGCTGACATTTCGATCAGATAGTGACTTATATATTCCCCTGGTGGAAATTTTGTGGTTGTAAACCCTAGAAAATCTTTTAATTCATTTCCAAATTTTACAGAGATATTTGACATAACCTTAAAATAATTTTATTATTCGGTAGTAACACTAGCTTTATATATTTAAAAATTCCTAGAAACTTTTCGGGAGATGAATATAATCCAATAGGAATAAAGATTTTTTCATCTCTATAAGTTTTCTTAATTACTTCTTTTTTCCACGCTGATATTTGATGGAACTTTTAAAATAATTTTATTATTCGGTAATAATGCTAGCTTTATATATTTAAAAATTCCTAGAAACTTTTTTAGAGAAGAATATAATCCAATAGGAATAAAGATTTTTTCATCTCTATAAGTTTTCTTAATTACTTCTTTTTTCCACTAAAGTAAAAAATTGATCGGAATAATCCTGTGTTCATAATTGAAAATTATAAGTACAATTTTCTCTTAATATAATATCTTCATTAGGTACGTTTAGCATATAAAGTAATTTCGACGCATGCTCTACGATGACGTGCAACTCGTGCCCATCTTTTACATTTATATCTACGGTTTATTTTCATCAAAAATAAATTTGGCCAAATTAAAATTTGTTAACGAAAGTATGTTGCCATTTATTGCATCAAACAATTTACTTTCTTTATCTTTAATAGAAACTAAAGGAATCAAATATGATTTATCTGGCAACAGCTCATCTTTTTCTTTTATAATCTCTTCAAACATAACAGTGTAATCGTTATTGTGATTAGATATATTAAACTATTTTCTTGGAATAATAACTTCGCTAAGTCCAACTGCCCAATTTCCTTGTAAATTAATAGGAGGACTCATTGTTACCATAAAACAAGACTGTGTATTCTTGGGAAACAAGTCCATACTGTAAAGTACTAGATTAGTTTTCCGACTTTCTACAACGATTATCGACACGACTGAGTGCCGGAAATAGCCGTTCCCTAACGGGTATTTTACGCAAATTTGCTTTAGTGTGCCAGGCCTGGACTTTAAGCGTGCACCGAATTAAATAATGACAAAGTTAGTCAAAAACAATCCAATATTTAATAAAAGTTCTAGTAATAAACTATATACAATATTTAGTAAAAATCAAATAACAATTTATTCAATGTAAATCAATAAGAATCAACCCGACAAAACTAAATTCAATCTATTTTCTAACTTAACTCTATTCCTCTTTGGAATTCAACGAAATGTCAAAGACTTAACTTATGTACAATAATTCTTATGAATTAAAGATCCTAATCATCACCTCAATATACTAGGAACCTTTTCCTCAACTCTCAAGACTTTCTCTAATCTTCGATCCACAAATCGAATAACTTCAAATGGCCTTGGAACCATTTTATCGCTATTGGACACCTCTTGTTCGCTGCTACGAAGTTCACTATGCTCGTTCCTAACAGAAGCTCACCTCGTCCATCTTCACTTGAGGTTCAGACTTTATACTGTGAGGTGACGTCACAATTCTGAATGCGATCACTCCCCTCATTTACATACTTATTTGCTAACAAACTTTTTTCTGTTTGTCTGGCAGTCTATTTNGATACTGCCACAATTTTTATAGGAATCATAACTATAGGAAACGGTTTTATAGGGGGATCTACTGTATTTTCGTTAGGTAAATTTAGCATATAAAGTAATTTTGACGCATGCTCTACTATAATGTGCAACTCATGTGCATCTTTTGCATTTACATCTACGGTTTGATTATCTTCATCAAAAATAAATTCTGCCAAATTAGAATTCGTTAACAAAAGTATGTTGCCGTTTATTGCATCAAACAATTTACTTTATCTTTAATAGAAACTAAAGACATCAAATATGATTTATCTGGCAGCGGCTCATCTTTTTCTTTTATAATCTCTTTGAACGTAACAATGTAATCGTTATTGTGATTAGATATATTAAAGCAATTTCTTGGGATAATAACTTCACTAAGTCCGACAGCCCAATTTCCATGTAAATTAATAGGAGGACTCGTTTTGACTATGAAATGAGACTGGGTATTTTCAGGAAACAAATCGATATTTGCATTACTTATCAATGTAACAAAAAAGTCTGACTGCATCATTTTGTTACCTTTTGTAATTCTTTGGTATAAAACCTTCCTTCTAGAATCTCGTTACTTGTGTCTTTTAATATGTATGTTGGAGGATGCGATAAAAATCGATCATGAATAATAAATATTTGTTTTGTCCACCCTGGCAGATATCCACGACTAAATGTTTTACATATTTTTGAAATTTGAACTAAATCACCAATATTAATTTGAAGGATAGGTTTGGTGGCACCAATATTAAATTTAAATTTACTTTTCTTTTTTATACCATATAGCCTATCAAAAATTGTACCATAATGCAAAAGACTAACTTCAGATGGAGCCATACCAATACTTCTGTGAAAACTATTATTATATCCTTTTACGATATCGTTTAATTTGTCGATATATTGATAAGAATTGCGGTAAGTAAATAATCTATATATTTTAGAGAGGTTGAGGCAGACGTTTTAAACGTGTAAACGTGTAGGACGGACGTTCGATGCCGCTTTCCCGTAAGCCTAGAAGTTTGACGATGGTGTTTGGAATGTTGAGCGTGATTCCACCGACTATCCAAACACCATTGTCAAACTTTTAGGCTTACAGGAAAGCGGCACCAAACGTCCAACCTACACATTTACACGTTTAAAACGTCTGCCTCAACCTCTCTTTTATTTCGTAAAGTTTTATTTAATCTCTCAACCACGGAAGCTTTGGTATCTGAATGCGTCGAATAATGATTAATTTTATATTTTTTAAACAAACTTTTTACTAACCTATTATAAAATTCGGTTCCTTTATCAGTTTGCAAATTTTTAGGAATATTTTGTTTAAAAATAATTTGAAAAGCTTCAAAAACAGACTTTAGTTTTTTATCCTTTATTGATACAACATAACAATATTTACTAAATACATCAATTACAGTTAATAAATATTTTATACCGCTATTATATCTAGAAAATTGCTTTAACACAATTAAATCAGCATGCCATAGGTCGTTAGGAAAAAAAGCTTTAGTTTTTCTTCGTGAGTATTTAACTCTTACTGGTTTATGAAGCGAATAAACCGGCTGAGAAGACAACCATTTTTCAACAACAGATCTTGGTAAATTAGAAGCCTTAGTTTGTTTACTCACTCCTCCAAATGATGCTGAAGATTTAGGATTATAATATATTGATTTCAAAAATTTCTCCATTCAGGACTCTTTTTCCTCTGGTAAAATATTCTCGGAGAAATTGAAGAAAAAATTTCTTTGGGTCTTTCAACAGGTGTTGGTTGATATCTTGGTTGTTCACCGATTTTGGGTAGAGTCGCCAAACTTTTGTTTCCAATCCACTCTTTAGGGATATTTATTTTTTTTAATACTTGCCAAAATTCATTAAAACCAACGGGTGATAATGGGGTTTTTCTATTTCTCATTAAATGAGATATTAAGTCAACCATATGACTTCCAACAATTGGGTTACCACCAATTGTTAGTTTACCTTTTACATTCCATCCGTAATGATTTTGTCTCAATCTATCGATTAAATGTGGAATATATTTTCGATAGAGCTGAGGGACAGATATAGTTATTTGTTTAACAATTGAATCCTTGCCGTTGTCATCGGGTTTTTCTTCAGGTTGAAAAGACGCTTCTTGTTTTTCGTCAGGTACAATGGATACTCTAACTGGTTCTTTCAGTGCGTGAACTGTTCTCTGATATCTCAAAATCAACTGACTTAATAATTTAACTTTACTATTGACGTATAAATTGGTACTCTCAAGTAATTCTTCAATATTATTACCAATTCTTATTTCAGGTTTCTGATATGCCATTAACAATTTGGGAGGGACTAGAGCCATTTGCTTTGCCATTAGATTCTTTTTCCTATTACTTTACCAATTAGTCCTCCTGCCATAGACAATAACGGCACCAGTAGAAGAGGAAGGAATACACCAGATTGATTAACCAAAATTTTTTTCTTGGTATTTAAAGGAACGTGTTTTTCACTTAATTTCCTGATTATTTTTTTATATTTTCGTAATTTATGAACATCAGCTGGTATATTACCCCTATGCAAATTATTGCATATTTTGCATAAAACTTTGACCTGATCGGGAGTAGCTTCTTTCAATATTGCTCTTCGTTGTGAAGGAGTAGTTTTAGCCAAAAGTGCCAGCATATGATAATTTTTCTGTACGTTCTTCATTTTAACGGTAAGTATATCCAAAAAATACCTTGTTCATCCGGAAAACACGAATTCCGCACTGAAAGTTTCTTGTCTGTTTTAGGGTGGAAATCCAATAACAAATAACCAAAATCTTTTTCTGTTGCTTTTTTATACACATCCATAAAAAAATTACATTTTCCTGCAAAAGCCTGCCACCCCAAACAACTTACTTGACTTTCGTTGCAATTATTTTTAAACAAAATCAAATAATGTGTATTTAAAGTTATATCTCTCATGATTCTATTTTTCGGAAACAGATTTTGCATTATCAGAATCACGCTTACATTATAATGGTGTGACTCTGTGGTAAACAAGAATGCAGTTTTTGAACTGAGTTCATGCATCAAATCATCAATTATTACTAAATCCCATCCTTGAATGGATTCAGGTAAACCATATGCGAATGTAATATCTTTTTTGTCACGAAAAAACAGTAAATATACAGAATTACACCATAAAATTTTTTTTAATGATTTTTCATAAATTTTACAGCGAATAATTTTTCTTACTAGTGTAGTCTTTCCACATTGTGATGGTCCTGCGATTATGCAGTTACTCAGATGCTTGAAATACATATCAATCAATCTTATGAACTTTAGTAAATTTATTGTTTTGATCCAGAATTTATCTCTCTAAACATTAATACATTCTTTTTATTCTTATAAACATAAACTTCGTTCATAACATCCGAACATTCCTCGGATGAGTAATATAATTTATTACTAACATCGCTAATTCTTCCATCCTCATCGATAATTATAAAACCGAATCTTCCATCTTTCCATATTTCTCTGTTAACTTTAAAATAACGCAAAACAATAGAAAAATTATCGGGAATATCAAAGCTAAAATTATTTACCGCAGCAATACAGCTATCCAATGACTTGTACAACCGAGGAGAAACAGAATAATTTTGGTCTCCGTCGCAGGTAATGAAAAAAACCATATACTTTCATGATGAATCCTAGCGTTGAAGTAAATTCTAACGTATCTTAAAATTTAATTTATATCAAAAACTGACCAATCACATTTCTTATGTAATTAATTCAAGTATTATAAACAGGTAAATAAAAATATAATTAATTTTTATGATTAGAATGTGTCAGGTAAATTTTAATAAAACAAAAACAATTTTCTTTTTGAATTATATACTCAACATATTATTTACTAATTTTTGAGATTAGAGTGGATCAAGATTTATATTGAATTACCTAGAAAAATTAATTTTGTGATTAGTGTGTAAACTACTACTACTGTTATGTTCTGAAAAGTATGTTATGATGTAAGTACACAAATCTGTGCTAAGCGAAAAAGGGCTAATACAAAACATCGGGTTAGGTTCCAAAAGTTAACAAAAGTATATTATTGTTTTTCATTATTAAGAGAAATATGTTTATTAAAGCAATCAATAATTTATTTCCAATTAATAATAACAATTATAATTAAAAGTACTGTATTAGGTATTAATATTAATTTTAGTTAAACAAAAAAGCAACCAAGCATTTTGCATTTCTTTCATAGTACTTCATGTAACCTTGAGTTGATCAATGTCAAAATTTCTCTACTGGTTGGTGACTGCTGCTTTAGATTATTATTTTTTTTTTTTTACAAAGTATTGCCATCATCTGAGCATTTTTGTTGAATATCAGCAACATTTTCACTTTTTTATTTTTACCATAAAAAATTTTTTATATATGACAATAAAAATATGTTATTAATCAAAAATTTGTTCTAGATGGTCAAGTTTGTTTAATCGAGAAATGAGCAATTTTTTCTAGAAGTTGTGTTTGAATACCAAATTGTTTGAGTTGGGAACAGTTCAAATACCAAGATACCACCATATTTCATTTGTCACTTTTATAGATGATTACTTACCTAGAATTAAAGGTTAATAACACTTATCGAAAAAATGTTTAAAAAACTTTACTAAATATGAAGATTAATCTATAAAACAAAACACAGTGACAGTCTTCAGGACTAAAGTCTGAAAGCAACAACAATGACACCTGGTTGATAATGCAAGTTTTTTCTTCCTTGTTTTGCTTTCATATCAATTTTCATTAAATCTGATGAAAGGCACAAAATAAATTGAAAATTTCAATATTCTAAAATCCATGGTCAAATTTGAAATAACATGCATGCTTACTTGAATAAAAAATATTGAATAATAGAGTTTGCACTTAAAAGTTGTGAAATTCTGTACTGAAGATTTCCCAAATTCTTGAACTGTGTTAGAGCGAAACCATGTTGTAGAAGTGTCGTGCTGTACGAGGGATACCTGTATCATGTATTTCTTTTGTCTTCCAAATATAAAAGCGTTTTAGCTAATAATTTTTTTAAAAATTGGTTGCCATTGAATTTCTACTGGCAAAAAAATATTACCTTGAAACTATCATTGTATGAAATATAATAACCCACAAAAAAGCAAGCTGGAGTGGAGATTGGAAATAGAACAGATGGTTAGATTATCATGTCATTTGATATATGACTCATTTGATTTGTTTCTTGACATGTGCAATATAATGAGGAGCTACTATAATTTAATTACAATTTATTAAAGATCAATACCACTTTTAAATGAAATTCTGTAATTTGTTTTGGATTGTAAGATGATTGAATTTATCAATTATGTTTTTAACTTTATCTAACTACTAAAATACTTAATTATATATTAAAATCATTGCGAAAATATTTTTATTTAATTGAAATGAAAGTATTTTAATATATAAGTATTAATATAAATTTTCTTTTTTCTCATTTTAGGAATATTCATCTATATGTATTGGAAATATGGCATATGATTGTGAAATTTGCTGCACACTACTTAAACGTCAGGGTCTATTATTTACTATAATTCCATTATTACAAGTGAGAGTTCAATTAATTTCAATTAACTAATCATTAATATTCAATTAAATTTCTAAATAAGATACAATCTACTTGATTGATGTTTAATGTAAAAATATCAAAAAGTCATTTCTACACAAAATTAACAACACAACTGACTATCATCATTACAGAAACCATAATGTCAATAGACAGCTATGTTGTTAATTTTGTAACATTACATGGTGACTAGTGTTTTTACATTTTATAACTGTCATTTCTATATAATGATCAAATGAAAAATTTTTTTGCAAAGATAAACTGATGACATACAATAACCCAGTTATCTATTTGGAGTTTAAAATGTTATACTTGAGTATAATAAATATAGACTCAAGTATTTGTATTTGAGATTTAAATATTTCTTACAGCCTAGCATATCAATAACAAGCATGGTCAGTTTATGCTCCCAGTCTACTTGTGATGAGAAAACTTTTTACTTGATCACTAAATATAATAATAATTATACATTAGTTGATTTGAAGATTTCAAGCTTTAGATCAGCAGTTGCCAACCTTTCTGACCTCATAGACAACTCTCAATTTTTAATCTTGCGGACCACTCATGAATTTTTTTTAAATGATACAAACATCTATGGAATAATGATCACAAAAATTCCATTTTACTTTATTAACATGAAATTCACTTGTTTAATTATAACAAATTAGTGTAAAGTTTGTTGTTGCATGTTTGAAATAAGTTTATGGATTCTTGGATCTTTTCCACAAAGGACACAATCACACTCACAACATTATTTATTGTTGATTATTTGTTGATTTATTGACATTATTATTTATTGATGACAGTCATTTTGTGTTTAGTTTTAGATTTGAATAAATAACCCACAATGAGTGAGAAGAAGCAACCAAGCATTTTACATTTATTTCGTAATACTTTGCATAACCTTGAGTTGATCAATATCCAAATTTCTCCACAGACCACTGGTTAGTGACTGCTGATTTAGATGAATTGTCTATATTGCATTTATTTTAAAGAAAATGGTCAGCTCATTGAAAAATCCTCACAAATTCATTTTATAATGTAACATAGCTATTTACATTTTAATAATTCATACCAGAACTCAATCTAATATAAATTAAAATTACCTTATTCCCAAGGTATGGAATATCTGTTACAAAACTGAGTGTTGTCAAGATATGCAGAAAAAGTTAAATTAAAATTCTTTCTGATACCAATAACCATTTTATTTGAAATCACTTTTACATTCATGTTACATTTCTTAAGAACAGTTGGAATCATCAGATTCATTACTGTTGTTGTCTGGTTGTGATGCATCTGTTGTTAAAGCATCCCTTCATCAGCATCCTCATAGTGCATTTTCTTCAAGTTTGCTAACAATAGAACTTTAGTAACAGCTTCATATAAGCATTTCAGAACTCACCATAAAACAGCAATTATATTTACCTAGTAATAAATATTCCTTAATTAAAAGTAAGTTCCAATTGATTGAAAAAATAAATGTTTTTTTTTTTTTTTTGTTTAATATCACTCCAAGGTGAAATGTTCTATCAGGGTGACAATATTGATTCCAGTAACTTGTCACATGCTAATGAGAACAAGTCTTTTTAGAATTTCCTGTTACTGGGGGGCAGTGAAATTGAGTTATGTCATCACCAGCAACTGATTGTGCTGTTTAGTCTACAGACAGTATGCAAGGGCAGACAATACATAAAATTTTGAAACAAACTTCTAGAACATTGTATGGACTATCAATAATGGCAGACTAAGCTGCGGGAATAGGATAATATATCAGTTCTAATTTTACAAATATCTTAATATATTGGTGAAATGAAAATTTTGTTGGTATTTCATGTTCTTAATATATATGTTACATTACAATTTTAATTTTCTGTCTCCTTTGTCATCCTTCAAACTGTTAATTTCATTAACTTCTTTTTAGTATGCTTAAAAAATAACTTGTAACTAAATCAAAATAATAGCAAATTGTCAAATTATTGAAAGTTTGGTTCTGATGTTCTTATTCATGTTGAAATGATGTAAAACTTGATCAACAGTTAATTCCAATAAAAGTTAAAATACCTTTATATACTGTATATTAATCTATTAATTAATTGTTTTAATTTTAAACTTAATATTTTGAAAATTTACTATTAAAAATTAAATAAATTTTAATTCCATAATTTAAAATTAGAAGCATTAATAATGTAGATTTTTGTTGCAGTCTAATGTAATTTATATTTGATTTAAAATTTAATATTTTCAGAAATAAATTGTTATTTAAAATATAATTTAAACCATAATACCAGCAGATACATTAATTCCTACCCTACTTCAACTTTTTGAAACCGTTTTTTGACACTGAAAGTATAATTTGCATAAACACATATAATATTAAGGATGTTATGATAACTGTCATATGTATAAAATAATATAGATAAAGATGTAAGAGTTATTTAGATGGTGTAATAAATTGTATAGTTATTTTTAGTTTCTTCTGTGTGCAGTGCCACAATAGCTTTAGAATATCCCAAACAACATTATCCATGTCCAAAGCAAGATTTGAATGCACAATCTAATAAAATAGAAGTAATATCTTGCATTATTTTTCTATCATCTAAGATGTTAAATTATTTATATTTGTTTATCAACAAATTACTATTATTTTTGATTTATCAGAAATAAAATTTTTTATGATATATTAATGTTTGGTTTTTTTTCATTTATTACAGTCATCCCATCAACAAATTGTAAGATCATGTTTATTTGTTCTTCAAAACTTCAGTAGATATCTTGATAAAAATGACATAGAGTAAGTTTCATTAACTTAATATTAATTTTATAAGTTACATAAATAATAATTTTATTATCTTTTTATTAAATGCAATAACAAATATACTTTATATTTTGTAATATTATTGTTAATATTATAAAATTGAAAGTATATTTGTTGTTGCAGATTATTATTGTTGTTGTCAATAATGGTTTATATTTTGTAATTCTATTAATAATTTATATTTTATAGTTCTGAGATATATCTACAGTTGGTAAATTTTTAATACATTTACATTGAGTTACGTGATGATGATAATGATAAGAACATTTTCCTTCTTATGCCTCTCAAATCATGAAATGAAATACACAATATATAGTATTAATTATTAACATTCACATCAATTCTGATGTCTTTGTTTACATAATTTTGGAAAAGTACTAATTAGAACTTGAATTCTGTATTAACCTAACATTGTTTTTTTGTGTTTTACAGGAAAAACTCCCACATAAAATTAAAAAAACATTTAATACACCAATTTATGAATTAAATTTCTAAAAAATTTTAACATATAACTTAATTTCCTTTACTGCATATTATTTAAAAACGAATTGTCTTTCAAATAAAAAAAAATCGCGACGGATCACGTGACACGCGCCGGTGTATTTAGCATAATGTCCTTGAGAACAGCTGTTTATAGCCATTAGCGGGATATTCTCATACAAATCGCAGGGGAAGACCGATTTCTAGACAGATGTGCATCAGTTACCGTAAACATTCAAATACGTCACGAAATTTTCGATCATGTATACACTATCAATAGGTGGGGACCGAAAAAATGGTCCAAAAATTAAACTTTTATTGGGTGTATAATTTTAAAATTTTCTGATGTCATAAACAACATCCAATAGAAAGTAAAATAAGCTTTGCCCGAGTTATATCGTCCATAGGCAGAACAGGAACGAATTTTGAAAATTGGACGAGTTATCTCGTCAATGGGCATACCGCGTGACTCACGCTTGACGAGTTATCTCGTCAATGGGCGTTAAGGGGTTAAAAAATTCGTTTTAAAAACCCTTATAATTGTACTTAAAAACATCTGCTTTTCATCATATTAGTAATGGCCATATAGCTGAGTCTCTTAAGGCATCAGCCTGCCACCCTGGGAGACTTGGAATAGAATCTGCACAAGAAACCCAGGAATTTTTCATGAGCAATCCTCATGAATGCATTGGGTCCTATTCCGCACCCCTTGGTTGCCCCCACAATGATCATGGAAAAAGGACCCAGAAATAGAGACTTTAAATGCCAAGAGAATATATAAAACATACCAGTTCTTATAACCTCTGTTATTTTTATGTAATATATGATAGTAATGTTAAAATAAACAACAAAAGCACACCGCAATAAGATGTACATCTGCCATAAACCAAAAATTGGTGCGTTAACTCAACTATACAGCTTTCACTAACATTTTTTAACCAACAGTTCTTCTTCAGGTGAAAAATGGACAAATGAAAGAAAAATTCGATGGAACAGTTCTTTTTGAAAGAGTTTTGAAATGGAATTCGGAGGAAACCCGTGCAAGCGTTGTCAATGTTGGGCATGTGCCTTCCTCAGAAGTAGAAAAAAATTCTGTCTTGTCATCCATCATATATAAGAGTTTGCCACGCCACTGATAAGGATAACTCATCTTTACTGTTAATACATTTACTGTGCAGGGTTGTTTTGTGTATATAAATTGTTTCCATTTGACGAGGCCAAGATCATCCACACCACGCACCAGCTACACCATTTGCGCTGGATGGAAGCGATTTATATACACAAAACAACCCTGAGCAGTAAATGTATTAACAGTAAAGATGAGTTATCCTTATCAGTGGCGTGGCAAACTCTTATATATGATGGATGACAAGACAGAATTTTTTTCTACTTCTGAGGAAGGCACATGCCCAACATTGACAACGCTTGCACGGGTTTCCTCCGAATTCCATTTCAAAACTCTTTCAAAAAGAACTGTTCCATCGAATTTTTCTTTCATTTGTCCGTTTTTCACCTGAAGAAGAACTGTTCAAAAACGTTAGTGAAAGCTGTATAGTTGAGTTAACGCACCGTTTTTTGGTTTATGGTGGATGTATGTCTGATAGTAATGTTTTCATTTGTTAAAAGTAGAGTTAATATATAATTAATTGCTGATAAAATAACTTAGTCACTTAGACATTGTATAGCATTTGAACTTATCTACTTATATAAGCCATTGATCCCACTGTTTGTATATCTGTCATCTGTCATGAAATGCCTAGAACGTGCACTAGGGGGTGTCCCTAGTGATGATTTTCAGCCATTATTTAAATTAATAGTATAATTTATTTATAATAGTATATACAGTAGAACCTCGATTATCCGGATCTCTANTTATTATTTATACCACGAAATGATATCGTTGCTGCTAGAACACCACAAGGGGCGTCCTGGGCTACTAGTTTTATATAGCACATACAAAAATTGTCTGAAAGATTAAACAATTCTTTATGTATAACAAGCAATTATTTATTATGACATTGTCACAATGCCGGGCTGCAATTTTAATCATATTTTTAATTTATTTAACTTAAAATATATCATCATCACCTCAAATTAGTAGTGGCTTGTTTCTGTACATCATACTTTTCCTTTAACAATAGTTGTGCTGATTGTCTATCTAACACCTTTCAGGAGAAAATTTTTGAATTGAAATACAAACTTCTGATGCAAACTAGAAGTCACATTTAGTTAATCAACTTCCTGTCCCCAAAATTTCCATATCTGGTCTTGTCTTTCATCTATCTAACTCTGTTCTCGAGGTTAAGGAAAGACAGAATGATAGTGGGAATTTATAATTTTAAAATTTTTTCAAATTGCAATCCAATAATTAAGAATTTGCTTACTCTACAATTATAACTGTCACCAATCTGTATGAACAGAAGTGGACAATGAATTGTTTTTTAGATAGTCATAAGGGTATTTTTAAATTATCTAAAATTATTTAAAATTTTAAAATTTGGTTACCTGAAAATCATCATATTTTAAGAGATTTGATTGCACTCTGAAAATAAAAGAAAATATTAGTCTTATGCTTTTTGAAAACCACAAGTCCAATTTTTTCTTCAAACATTTGTAAATAAATTCCTCATTTCAGAACCTTAAGAATATGAGTATCACAATATAGAATTCTTACATAAAGATCATTTTTGTGCTCATAAATCTTTAATTTGCCTCTTCCATAAAATATATATTTGAATATTTTCGTACAGAATGGTAGAATAATTATTAGATTTGAATTGCTGATTTATTATAGGACTTCATTGAAAAAGCATTTGTCTGCTACATAACATTATTGATTTTTTAGCTCTAAGAGAACATATAAGGGTATTGGAAACATCTGCAGTCACAAAAAGTGTAGATAAGAAAGAAATCTTATTTAACATCATCTTTATAATGCAAATTGTTCTTAAGAAAGGTATTTAGTAGACCAATTGATAATTATAAAAGCTATTTTTTGTAAGCTTTTGTATTCTCATACTCAGAATATCAATTTTGAAGGTTTTCTTTCTTTAATTCATTATACTTTTCTGATGTTATTAATATTTGTCTCATTTGTGCAATAATTGTTTAAGAAAATTTAAAGTAAAATCTCAGAAATCTCCAAAAAAATAAGTCATAACTGATTTTATATTAATTCCAATAATGTATTTTTAATATTTTTAGAAAACTGACTAACGAGGGCATTTTAACCATTATTTCAAAACTACTATTAAGTAAACTATCCAGTCAAAGTTTACTTCACGATATCTACAATATACTCTTTCATTTCACTGCACAGTAAGTAAAATTATCAATTTTATTACATAAGTTTTATAGTTATCAAAAATGTTTGCTACCTGTTATAGCATTGAGTCCTGCAAACAATATTTTCATAAAGAAGCCATTCATCTAATTGCTCTGAATCATTTGAAGTTCTTCTGTTTAGATCAGTTCAAAAATGTATCAGTAAGTAATTAACAAAAATTATTCATTTCTAAAAAATTATTATTTTCTTTAATCTAAACTACAAATTTACTTTTGTAGATTATTACCACAATTGTGAGAATCTTGGGAAATTTAACATCTTCTGATGATACTTTTTCTGTCGAAATTCTCAATCATAAATATTTTGAAGACTGTCTCTCTGAATTAATTACTTCTTCATTTCGTCATATCAGAAAAGAAATTTTATGGCTTTTACAGAATATTTTTGGTAAGCAAAATAGTCTTTAGACATATGTAATTATGACATAAAAGTAGAGTTCCATTCAAAGTTTATATTTCTAGCATCATGTAACAAAACGTTTCTATGGAGTAATATTAATGTGCCTTCGTTAATCAACACTCTTTTACTACTGCATCATAGGGATGATTCTGCAAACGAGGTGAGTTTTTGTATTTTTTTTTTTTTTTACATAAGTCCACTCTTAAATGTACGAGGATCATTCTAAAAGAAAAGAATGTTTTGATCTGACAAGCTGTGCAGTTCCCCCACCATCCGCCACTTCCCATGTTTTCACGCCAGTCTGATGCTAACACGAGCCACAACAATTGTTTACTGTTTACAGTGTGACTTTGAAATATGTGACAAAATTAAAGATCCCACCAAGTGTGAGGCTCGTAGTGTAATATGCTTTTTGAATGCGAAAAAAGTCTGCCCTATTGAAATTTACAGACAGATAACTGAGGTTTATGGTAATGTGATGAACGAAGCTTCAGTTCAAATGGCAGGGATTGTTGTCCAGAGGTATTGTGCTTCTTCAGGATAATGCACATCCGCATGCTGCTGCATTGACAAAGAACTTACTTCAGCAGTTTAAGTGGGAAGTTTTTGAACATCCTTCTTATAACCTGGACTAGGCTCCAAGTGATTACATCTTTTCCCAAAATTGAAGGACATTTTAACCGGGAATCACTATGGAAGTGACAATGAACTGAAAGAGGCCATTAATGACTGATTCAAGAACTTGGCGGTAACTGAGTGTGCAGAAGGCATAGCAAAGCTAATGATACACTATGATAAATGTTTAAATTTGTATGGCAACTATTTGGAAATATAGCTAAGGTATCATGTGTGTTGTAAAATAAGTTTTGCTTCATTATCTTAAATAAAAGTATCTAGAGAAACAAACATTCTTTACTTTTAGAATGACCCTCGTATATATGATATGGTGTGCATATGAGAGGACTTCAATTAATATGCAATTATTGTCATTATTTGTAGGATCATTAATAGAGACAAAATCAAATATATTTAATTAGTGTATCATATATGCATAAGGTGACAATTTTCACATGTAACTGCCATTCCCCAAATTTGTTGATTCTGAAAAATCCTATAATATAGCTTCTGTGCACATGCCAAATTTCAATGTCATATGTTATTTTGATTACAGAACAGTATACATGCTCCTTCTCCTATAGAAACCCTTATTAAACTTTATGGTGGCATAGGCTAATGTGAATGAGTTCAGCTGAAAATAAATGATGAGAGGCTAAGGTGTTTCTCAGAAGGGCCAGAAAATTATTATTTTTCTGACACAAAATAAAGTCATGAAAATGTTTAAATTGTTGTAAGATCATAGTGACTTGCAGACCATGTCAAATGTCATGCCTGTATCTTGCAGCAATCATGAGAAACCTCCATGACATCATTTGATGATAATTTTCCACTCTGCTGTCATCTTATGCATGTGACAAGGAAAAATTGGATGTGATCACATGTTTAAGGCAGTCGTTTTTTTAGGGTCTTTGAAAGCAAAAAATTTTTGACTAAAATTTTTACAGTAAAGATGGATAGCATGTGGATATCATGGAAGCACTGCTAAGTAAGTTATTTTGGTGAAAAATGCCTATGAAACTAGTATGTGTGGAAAATTGCAGCTACTGCATATGATCCAGGGCTGTGGAGTCGTGTAAAAATCTACTGACTCCGACCAGAGGCGGATTTGTTACCGAAAGAAACCTGGAAATTCTGATGTCATCACGTGACCTCAGAATAAAAGATTCAATAAATAGAGTTCTAATAAAGATAGAGCATAGAAACTTTTTATTCCAAAGCTAAAAGCTTTTGGATTGTTACCATGTTTTGTTTTTATAGGTTAAAGTTTAAATAAACATTTTTATATAAGTGTTATTAAACTTTTTTAACTGCAGGTAAATAATTATTCATAAAAATGATGAAGGAAATACAGTTGTATCTCAGTACTCTAACAATTTGGTATTCAAGCACAAATTCTGTAAAAAATCACTTGGTACTTGACTGAACAAATTATCTATTAATAATCTTCTATGGATGATAAAAATATAAAAAAATGAAGAAAATCTTGACCAGAAATATCAGCCAGATATTGGCAAGTTTCGTTTGAATCGGAGAGGACAAAAACAAAAAGTTTTCCTTGTCCAAATAATAGGACCCATTTCTCAAGCGTTTCCAAAAATGGGCCTCTGAAATACAGTTGTCAACTGAAGAGACTTCCATCTGGCAGTAGTCGAAAACAAGATCGACTGTACAGAGCCAAGTTTTATGAAATAATAAAGATACATAAGAACTCCAGAGTACGGTACAAGATTGATGAAGAGGCTGCATCTGGAGGTCATATAGTTATTTGCTTGCCTTCCTTTCATTGCAAATTTAATCCCATTGAATTAATGTGGGCTTGGTTAAAAGAATACGTTGTTTGACATAACACCACATACAAATCTATAAGTGACGTAATTAATACATCACCAAGCAACTCTTCAGAAAGTGATGATGATGATCCTGTTCCACTATCGGATTGCTAGAAAAATTAACCCATTAGATATTTCATGATTTGTCATATTTCCAAAAATTTCCATTTTTGGCAGGAAAAGTGAAGAGTATTTGTGGTGAAAAATCATTATTTTAATTTTGTTTAAAATTAAGAACAGTAATTTGCTATCATACATGAACATATTTTAGAGTGATGACAAATTAAGTTCTTCAGATAGTCATTACACAGAATGCATTATGGGTCCCAACCCCTCTTCAGCTGCAGACTATTGTGTAAGATGACTCATGCTAAATTTTTTATAATAAGAACGAAAGTTTTAAGCTTAGTCTGTTTAAATATAAAAATAACCACTTAACAAAACCAATAACCGGTATTATATAATTGTAAAATGAACTGCAAACGTTTTCGGTTCCTTCCCTAGGACCTTTATCAAGCAGCAATTTGTCTTTTTGCTGCTTGATAAAGGTCCTAGGGAAGGAACCGAAAACGTTTGCAGTTCATTTTACAATTATATAATACCGGTTATTGGTTTTGTTAAGTGGTTATTTTTATATTAATCCGGTATTTGAAGATTCTTTGTCTTAGTCTGTTTTTAATGTTCCACTGCAACAACATTTAAAAAATTTAATTTCTTCTAAACTCTTCTATCTATGGTTCAAAACAATCTTGAGAAGTGGCAGCCAGAAAGGTGTATTAATGTACATTATTTTTGAGGCCATTTTTTGCACTTGAAGGGGCCTGACACAAAAATCAAGTTCATTTTCTTCGGATACAAACAAAATACATTAGTTATTGAAATATTTTGTGTTCAAGTTAGATGATTTTTCTTGTTAAAAATTGCTATATTGGAGCTTACTAACTTAATTGATAAATTATATGAAATTCACGATTAATTCTGTGTACATTATTGACAATACAAATTAACATCTAATCAGAGTTTTACTGTATTTTATCTGGATTGCCCTTCAACCATAAAATAAATTGTGTTACTTATGTGCAAATATAAACACAAATGAACAGGGTGTTTGGGATAGAAACAAATGACTATTTTAATAAAAAATCCTTTAGTACAGACATTCCAAGATTTGAATTATTTGAATATTTGGAGTTTTACTGTAATTTGGTCATCTCATTGATATATTTTTAAAAATAGTTTACTTAGTGTGACAACTGTATTAAGGAGACATTGATGATGTAAAAATATAGGATTGAAAACTGTTAAATCAACCAACCTAAAAACCAGATGAAGAGTTACAAACCCAAAGGCAGAATTTGCACTCATCAGGATTATCAGTTGTTTTCTTTGGATTGACAGATTCTTTGGTATTGTAGTCATAAATTTTTAGTATGTATAAATGGCAGGCTAGATTCCAAATCATGGCTGACATCTGACAAAAATATGTCCATCTTTTATAGTGGCTTCAGCATTGTTATTCAGTCACCAAATGGGGAGGGTCATTCGTATGAGTTCCATTTTTACAGCTGTTGGAATGGCTAAGTTTGATAAAAGTACAGAATCATCAAGAAATTGTATTCTGAGATAACTTGTCAAAGTTATTTCAAATAAGAATATATTATTCAACAACATTGATATTGGATTATTGATGTATGCACACAAATAAAAGTAACAATATCTATTTTAATGAGAGAGGTATAAAAAAAGAAGTTAATTTTGAAAGTGATTTTTGAAATCGGGAAGATGTTTTTATCCTATGAGAATCACCTATTGTGCAAGGATATAGATACATCTTTGTGTAATGATATACATAGAATGATTTTCATTGATGCATGTGCTATTGTCTAACGTAATTTGAACATTGGCAGATATATCAGGATAGGAATCTGGGCCCGGATTCATGAAAGCATTGTATTGCAACTTATCTTATGACAAAATTTGTCATAACCAGGCATCATTGTATACAACAGAGTGGGTTCTCTTAAGTCAAGACAAAGACAGTTCAGGTAACCGATGAATATTTAGCTTTCTCAAAAATTTATAGAAGATATTTTAACAGAATTAAACTGATACTAACGACACTTTCGTCAATCTGGGCCCTGGACTGTGTTTTAATTCCCCAGGATGTCAAAAGCAGTTCTTTTAAGCCAAATAAGACTTAAATAAGACATGGTAAAAATAAAAAGTTGCATCACTTCTTTTTGGTCATTAACAAATCAGTGAAGGTAGATCCCTACTTTGATTATAAGTTATCTGATGTTTAAATAACAAGTACAGTAATTTTTGTTATTCAAAGGGATCACAGCAAAGTTCAGTCTCAGCTGCTTGTTTTACTTCATTATGATGTTAAGAGTTTCAATGTTAAGTAAATACCATATTATATCAAGTATCTGTGCATTTAGCAATGTCTGAAAACTGATGAGACACAACATGAAATTTTCTTGCAGATTTTTGACATACAGCCATTGTGATCAATGCTTTATGTCAGATGCTTAATTTTCCATAATCTGTTAGGCTGTGTACACATTAGGCGTTTTTAAACATGCATTTTGGTAATGCATATTTTAAAGAATCAAGAGTTCTGCATAGGCATACATACTCAAAGGTGCGTTGATAGATTTTTTGTTAAAATGCACGTTTTACGGGCGTCAGCCGTGCATTTTGAGATATATGTGCTGCCATGTTGTTGTACATTCGATTGCGCACTTTCGGGTAGAGTGGACGTACATTGGCCGAACTGGAGAATGATCATTTCGATACTGATCTATTTATTGATGAAATCTAAAGAAGACCAGCCATCGTCAAATGATTTTATAGATATTCTAAAATAATTTTAAAATTTTGGTTCATATTATCTTAGTTTTGGATACGTCAGAAACATTCCATGCGTCAGTCTATCTCGTAATATTGGGTGCACCCAAAATTCTCTGTCTTCGTCGCTATAAAAGACGATGGCAGAGGCAAAGAGAATTTTGGAGGAGGCACACACAAGCAATTACTTTCACGTCCATTTCCAAACTGAGCCAGTGCTAACGCTCCACTAAACGGTCGTTGAACGCCGAGCTAATGCGCGTTTAACGCAATGCAAAATGCCTAATGTGTACAACCCTTAGTCTCTGTGAGCAGAACAAAAAATGACCAGAATGCATTTCAGAATTATTGATGTACTATATAATGCATCATGCAAGCAATTTTATCACACACACATCAAGGAAGAACAGAATATGGGTATTGGCTTGGGCAAGAAATAGCCTGGCAGCTCTATGCTTTGAGTGTGTCATCACAAGCAATTATAATTCACTACAATCAGGCGGATCTACATAGGGACTAATAGGGCTCAAGTCCTTTACCCACAAAAATTGAATTATCATCATAAATTTTTAATAAGTGCTCATTGTTAATGAAAAAATATCATATAGTAAAAAATAAAATAATAGTTAATACAGGTATACCTCGCCTTACGTCAGTAATTGGTTCCAGGAGTTGCGACTTAAGTTGAATTTGTCTCCGAATTTACTCGTCACTAGGATAAACCACAAATAACCGTTCCCAGTTCTGTATTTTTAATAATATGTGGTTAATAAGAATCTATTTTAAGCTTACAAACAAATTACTTTTTTCTGTACTATATTAAAAACTAAAATTTATCTAAATATATGAATTCATGTATGTACAGTACATCGCAGACTCTTTATTTGTGAATATGGTTTGCTCTAAGACATTATAAAATAAGATGATTTTGTAAGGTTAAATAACAAATACAGTTATTAAAATTATCTTGTGACAGTAGAAAATAAACTAATTTATATTAAATTTACCAATATCGAGTGGCGCTGATGATGACGACGACGCCAAACGGTAGATATTGGAACTACTGTGGAAAACACCAATATTAAGCACTTAAAGACCACTAAATAAGATGACAACACAGAAACACAGATGTTTTCATGTTTCGTTCTCTAGGATTTATATTAACATTTACTGTAAATGTACATATTTTAATATGATTTTATGTGCTTTAACGCTTTTCTAGTGATATTACGACTCCAATATTTGTGACGGATGGACGTAAAGTCGAATAAAATGACAAACTTTATTTTTATTTTTCCATATAATTTTTGGCAAACGATGTATAATTGAGAACGATGTAATTCGAGGTATACCTGTACTATAAATTATCATTATAATTTGTATTAGCAAAATATGGGGCTCCACTGGAATTCAATAAGCCCCGAAAAACCTAGATCCGTCCCCTCGCTATGATGTCTAGAAGCAAGTAGAGTTTTGTATAATTGTACATCACTAATAGTTCCTACAAACATAATTAAATTAGTTTTGCCATTCTTATGCATATTTACTCACTTACCTTGAATTCTTTAAACTGAAAACAATCTTAATGCATTGTGGTCACTTTTTTAACAGTCACAATACAAACTTCTTGGTAGCATTCTCTTTATGGCTTTACAGAAACATCCATAATGTATATATTCCAGACAATCAAATATTCTTCGACACATTCTGCTCAAAACATTTAAGATCAAACACTTGGCAGTTTGTATTTTGGAATGATGGAACAAAATGACCAACAAACATTTTAAAGTGTAAATTTGTCAGCCATTTTGTTTCGGTTATCAATATGTGCAGCAAGGTAATCTTGATCCTTTGTAGGAAAAGAATAATGGCTAGGTCAAAACTTGACTACTGTAATAAATGTGGCACTACTTGTTTCCTACATTAGAAATATTTTTGATTTAAGATGTTTGTCTTTTCCTATTTACAGTAGCAATTTTTTCTTTATTTCAGGCTCTCTATATCCTGCAAGATTTATCTGACCCAAACCCATGCCGTTCGTCTGTCCTTTGAAAAGAAATAATAATTTGTACATAAATTAAATTGTAAAGTGAGCACTTTTGTTATATAAAAAAGAATTTACGGCAAAAAATTCTATGGAAACCTTTATTTTCATGCATAATCACCTGTATCGTGCAGTATATTTGACACTGCCGAATTATGTCGACGACAAAGGCATTTTTAACGGGTCGGCAAGACTCGGGCATCCCGTGCCACGTATTTACAATTGTACTCGAACGAAAGATGCTTTTGTTTTTAAGGCAACATGTAACCGATTCCGGTCGTCTTCTCCGGAGAGTCTAGATAGACACTCTGTGGGACATCGCCCGCCGGAGCTCGGGTCCGTTTTCGGCACTAATAAAGAAACTAGTGGGATTCTAAGATTATTTCCTTTAAACTTAGAAGCCCGGCATTTTAAAGTAAACCGATGCAGCGTGTTTTCAGTTATGACGAAGCTTGATGCGCGTAGGCATTTTTTGACGTACATCGTGTCCAATTTCCAGCTGCCAGTTAACTGATAGACCGGTGTTTGGAATAGAGTTTATATAACAGAGACTGCTTCCCCTACGGACTAGATTCATTTATTATGTAGAATGGCTGGTCCCTCGTTTCTAAGGCTACAAAAACTGGACTGCTCTGGCAAACGGCTAAGTTTTGTACGAGAGTGGAGGAACAAAGGTCGCAGCCGAAAATTGCACACGCTTCCGGCAAAAACTTCAACTAAAAATGGCAGTGGCACTGTCATCCGACGACTGGCAAAAATTACTTCTGTACACATGCTGTACAAGTAGAGAATTGCTAACCCGGAATCACATATAAAAATTACATTTATTAAATAGTATGTTTTTTTTACATAATTAAAATAAAGTATACAGAAATCGTGTAGATGGTAACCATTTGATTTTTTTCATATACAAAACAAGAAGGTCAGTCAGCAATAATCTGTTGTACGAGAAGACAATGCCACTGTCCAATTGCTTGTGCGTGTCAATAGAGTAACGCGTTACAGTCTTTTAATGGCAACTGGAAAGTTATCCTATACACGAAGTTTAGGTGAAACAAGGAACATTGCTTTTCTTTATATATTTCTGGCCAAAAAAGATATTGTCAACATTATTACCTTAACACATGCTAGGCATTTCTTATATCAAATTAACCACCACTTGCAACGGAATAGTGAAGCAGTGGATAGATAACAAGCCAACGTGACATTCTTTAAATTCTAAATATTTATCCATTTACATCACATGGTATTGTATAGGGGATTAGCGTGCCTCTGTTTGGCCGAAAGTTTTGTTAGGGGGTGATTCTTTCCCTGCTGTTTTCGCACTTTTCTGGGTGGACCGGGCGGTGGAGGTGGAGGCGGAACCGAAACGGGGATGGATTTTAATGGGGGCGGCGATCCCACGGGTGAAAGCATCTTAATGTCTTCTAGGTTAGACACGTTCTCGCTAGAAGTGGTTCGAGTCAATTGCCGAGTGATCTGCATCATGCTCTTCTGGAGACCGTTTGAGGAGAGCGATCTCGGCAGTTTTGGAAGATTTTGTATGTTGGCCAGCATCTCAGGAAAGAGTCTGGAGTTTGGCAAGACCGTCCGATTGCATGGCCGACCCGAGTGGCCCCAGAGGGGGATTTTTAACCGTTCTAAATCCAAACTAGCCTTCCGGTGAGGAGCGGGAGGAGGTGGCAACTGTTTATCTTCAGCTTGCACCCTATCCGAACTGTTTATGTGATATTTGTGTGTACTTACAAATGTAGGTTTCGAATTAAGTTTTGCATCGCAACCCACCGTACATAGCCTGGACCTGCAGTCTATGGTGGGCGATGACGGAGTACTGGTGGATATACGTTCACATGGATCTTCTCCTTTGGGTACTGCGTCTATTTCTTCCCCATCTTTATTCAGTATGACGATCCGCTCTCTCTTGTGGGAAGAGGATCCAGACTTGGCTTCTAATTCTTTTGTCAGACGTTTTACCATTCCTGAATCTTTCTCTTCCGTTTCCAAAGACTGAATCCCACTGACTAGACTCTTCCCATATTCTTTGATTAATTTCATTTGTTCTTTACTTGTTTTATATTCCTCTCCGGTCATTGACTTCACATGCAAATTTTCTAACAGTTCTTTTTGTTGCTTAACAGTTCCCGGTAAAGGATTATCGGTCAATCCTTTATCCGTTCTTTGATTTGTACTGTAATTATTATTTATATTAATGTTACTAAATTCCAATATATCTACATCGGATTGCAATTTAGTATTAGTTTTACCTGCCAGAGAGACGCTACATCTCTCCGACGGTAGGGACCGAATGGCACTGTTAAGAATTTCTTGTGTTCCACAGATCACGTCGTTGACCGCTTCGACGACCGACGGCGAACTGACACTGTGAATAATTCCGGTTCTGTTATTTGGTTCCGGCGATGTAACTCTTCCCTTGGGAGTCTTAAAAGGCCTGGGGCCTGCCAGAGCCGGTAACGGATAATATTTACCACCGTACAAAGAAGAAGGTCTGTGTTCGCTACGTAAACTGTTCGATCTCTGAACGCACTTAATGGTTTCGTCTGTCTCCGAACAGACTTCGGGGGGTGTTGATGGCGTGGACTGAGAAAGCATGGGAAAACTCAAGTCACAAGTCTTTTTCATATTCTGTTCTTCTAACTGCTGCTTTGTTCTTAGAACAGTTCCTGGAGTCCACGGTATAGCTTCCTTGTTATAGATTTCATTCTGAGGTGAACAGTTATCGGTGGATAAAGTAATCTGTGATGTTTCTATATACTTTGTTTGGGAAACAATACTAACTGGTTCGCTGCGAGTACATTTACTCGGTACAGTTTCTTGCATAAGAGGGTACTGTACTGACATCTGGGAAATTTGATGTGGAACGTGGCACGTATTTAGCGTAGTTTTTGTTTCTCCACTATAACAGAATGAGTCAGAGTGATTGACATTAGAAACTGGTGCTTCGACAACACTACTATTTTTCTTTAATATGTTTGCAGCCAAATGACTAGAATGCTTGGATGCATGAATGTTCATGTCTTGATTTATCTCTAAAGCATTTGATTTAACTGGATTGCTAATAGGGACGAAAGAGTTTTGCGTTAAATTGTCAGGAGCAGCACTGTCTAATTGATCGGGATTCTTTTCCAGGAAAGAATGTATTAAGGACGAACTCGGTAAGTTTTCTTTTGCATCGGACCGATTTTCGTCCTGCCGTTGGCCACTTTCTGGTTCGGAGATCCGAGAGGTATCATCCGTCGGAATGGACTTTTCGCCACCGCCGTCAGGCCAGGGACCCGGTTTGATCAGCACGGCCTGATGTTTGGCAATGGGCGGTTTCGTCTGAGACACTATCGGTTCCACACCCTGGACATCCTGTTCCAAACTATTTTCGACCCTCTTCATGGTCAGTCCCTCATCCACCGGAGAAGGCGTTCCAGGTTTAGAATTTCCACATTCAAAATGATTGGCCAGATTTAACACCAGACCACATTTGTTGATGGGTTCCGGTTTAAGTACTTTTGAAACAGCTGGAAGAGTGTGCACCTGCGACTCCAATTTGTTAATTCTGTCTTTGATGGAAGATACCCTGTGGATTCCTCCATCTGCTCCAGGTGTTATGTCATTTTCCACTCCGAGAGCCAACTCTGTGACGTCAGAGTCAGACTTTGGAGAACTCCGCAGGCACTCTTCGGCACCTGTTGTCTTGTTCTCTGCATTGTTATAAAATTCCAAATCCGTACCATATCTTCTCGCATATCTTTCTTTTCTGTTGCCTTTATAATAATCATCTAAAATAAAAAAGAAATAAATATCAGTCATATGATTATAGATGTCAACTGTATTAAATGTTAATGTCAAAATAAGACTATTCTGCCATATCAAAAAAAGAACAAGTGAGAATTTTTTTAAGGACTAACAGATTGATTACAAAAATCATCTCATCTTTTAATTACCTAAAACGACCTAAATGATACATTTAATTGTTTAACCATAACTGAAAAATACACATAACATACAAATGTATTTACATTTTAAAATGACATCAAAATCAAGCACTAGCAGAGTCGACTAAATTACGCTAATATTTTTTGCGAAATGAATTTTTGGTTTAAAAATCTACTAGGCTATTGACAATTATCAATTTTGAAATAATCTGAAAGTGAATAAATGATGATCCTTTTTTTTAAACAATGTTACAGAATACAAACTTTTGACGACCGACATTTCGCTGTAGGCTACTTGGTTGTCAAAATTAAAACTTCCCTTAAAAACACAAGTTTAAAAATTGGAACTGCCAATGCCACAGGTGTCTTCTTTCCTTCTAAATGTATGATTTTAATCTATGCTATTGAGCATACTTCCTACGTATACAATTTCAAAAGTGATGTTTTTGCATACTCTAATATTGTACAATTGAATGCAACAAAATTAATCACAAATATTTTAATATCCAAGGAATGTCATCTATTGCACTTGGAAAATTTGGTAATTTTGGCATTCGAGCATTTTTCTGCCAGAAATCTATGATAGTGCTGTGGTCTCGTTTTGCCTCAGTTGCCCTTTGCAACCCTCGTCTTGCTTAACCGTCTCCTCTAAGCAACACCATTTAGAGTGGCATTACCCAGACTCCTGGGTTAGACGAATTGTGGATACTAAAAGCGGGCATTTCTATAGTTTATAAGTGATGCACCAAACACATTTCCAGGCCTTGGCTCGAGCACCTTCAGTCTGCGAGATGAGTATGCAGACCAGAATATGAGACAAATACAGTCGACCCCCCTATAACGCGCGTTCCTATAACAACAATTCCTATAACGTAGCAAAAAAATTGTAGCAACAATTTTTTTGCTACGTTATAGGAACAAAAAAATTATAAAGTACCTCCTATAACGTCCTGCTACGTTATAGGAACAAAAAAATTATAAAGTACCTCCTATAACGTCCTGCTACGTTATAGGAACAAAAAAATTATAAAGTACCTCCTATAACGTCCTGCTACGTTATAGGAACAAAAAAATTATAAAGTACCTCCTATAACGTCCTGCTACGTTATAGGAACAAAAAAATTATAAAGTACCTCCTATAACGTCCTGCTACGTTATAGGAACAAAAAAATTATAAAGTACCTCCTATAACGTCCTGCTACGTTATAGGAACAAAAAAATTATAAAGTACCTCCTATAACGTCCTGCTACGTTATAGGAACAAAAAAATTATAAAGTACCTCCTATAACGTCCTGCTACGTTATAGGAACAAAAAAATTATAAAGTACCTCCTATAACGTCCTGCTACGTTATAGGAACAAAAAAATTATAAAGTACCTCCTATAACGTCCTGCTACGTTATAGGAACAAAAAAATTATAAAGTACCTCCTATAACGTCCTGCTACGTTATAGGAACAAAAAAATTATAAAGTACCTCCTATAACGTCCTGCTACGTTATNGGTACACACTCGGTAAGTAATCCTATAATTTTTTGTTTATAGCATAGTTTATACGGATTACTCCCAAAAAATTATACGTGTTTTGGAAATGTTGAGTGGAATTAGTCTAGAATCGGTTAATTTTATAGAAGAAAACCTTTCGAACAGCCTTAGTCCGTAAAGTTCCCACCTATCGGGCTGCGATTGGCTCATGTATTTAATCATTCCTACAACGTAAAATTCGATTAGCGTGGAACGTATCCAAGCGTTATAGGGGGGTCTACTGTAGATCATGATTGGGAAAGGAAAGAATGAATTCTATTTTTATAGATGGGTATAGGTTTTCAAAATCCATAACAGACTCAACTTCATCAAGTAAACTTAATTCCTGTAATTATTTTACTACATTCGTTGGGTATTCTGCAATGAGAACTGTTGCCTAGTTCATCTGAAATGAATCTACTCATATGTAAACGTTTTTCAAGAATGTGGGCCCTCTACATTTCTCAACTACAGGTCTATCCTCTTTGCCTTCCTTATGTATTTTTGCAAATGCAAATAATCTTGGCAGTCCTAGTTTCAGGTTATGGGATCCTTTAAGGAAAGTTAATATGGAGCTTAATGGTGCTCTTTCAAGTTTTTTAGCCCTTCTGTCTAAGTTCGTAACAATTTTTTCATTGACCTGTTCACAAAAACCCGACAAATGTAGTAAAAGAGTTACAAGAATTAAGTTTTGAATTTTTGAAAACCTATACCCATCCATAAAAATAGAACCATGCTACGAAGCATTAATGCTCGTATTTTATGCTCCACATTAAACTGTAAAGTTACTAGAAAGAAAGAAGTTCGGTTAGTGAATTAAATTAACAAGGAATGGAGAACGATGCCCTAAAAGAAGGGAATGAGAGCCAGGGAGGACAGATCAGATACGCTGAAGGTCTAGGCGAAAGGAAAATCGTCATACTGCTTAAGCAGATTTATGAATAAGTCAAATTTCTTTTGGGTTTATTTCCAATTTCCCAGTTTGATTACCAGTAAGGTTTTTTATATAGACCATTCATAAGAAATGTGTTTTTTACACAATGCTGTGATATCAACTCTAAGGTAAAGGAGCTTAGATTTATCTTAAGTACTCCCATTTTTCTAAAACAAAAAACTTGCATACCAGCAAAAATCAAATTTCTGGAAATCCTCTTCAACTGAATTCCGATTTCCTATACACCTGGCATTATAAATACAGATTCTGCACCGGAAATATAGCATAACTTTATATAAACTCCACGTTGAGACGACCAACAATAGATGGCATCTAAATGTGGCATTTTGTTAAAGCAACAAAAATTTATATCAGTCATAAAATGAGAAGCCTATTTGCAAAAGATGGAAATACAATAGGGTTTTGCTTTTTGCAGTATTGATACACACATTTCAAGGCCAGAAAATGACTAGGTTTGATTAACCTAGTCAGTAAACCTATCTATCATCAAAAGCTCTTGAAACTTCAAATTACAACTAACATTGTTTGGAATTTTGGAAAAATCTCAAAATATATTTTAGCGACATATAACATTGGATCCAACACCATGTCGAGGCCATGGAGTCGGAAGCAAATTTGTCTCTAGTGGAATTGGGGTCGGTAAGAACAGACCAACATCGAAATACTTTTTTACTATGTACTGGTTATATTAAGCTCCTAATGGGAGCATTAACATCTTATTTTATGACGATATGATGTTTTAAGAGATTCTGTTTCAAATATTCCATTTTTACTGTTTATTATGTCTCAATTATTTTATCATTACATTCAAAATGAATGCGAAGGAAACAAAAAAGAATTGAAGAAAAAACAATATTTGAGACAACACATTCTAAGTATACAGTATATAGTGATGGTGGTTATATGCTACTTAAGCTTATTCATGTAACATCAGGAAAAACAAAAAGACACATTCTGATGTCACAAGCAACAGATTTAGTTTAATCAGAGTGGTTCCAAGTTAATAGGGTATTGACAAAAGATGTCAAGAAAGTTTTAAATTAGTGATGATAAAACCTATTAATGGAAAAAAAAAATGGCATAGTAATTCATTTTGGACTATGCTTAAGACTTTATTAATGTTCAGATAAACAAATAAATTGCAGTAATTACATTAAAGCATCAGGTGCACTTTTCTTACCTGTATGAAATTCCCTCATGGGCGTCTGAATGGAAAACAGCATGTCGGCAGTAGCATCGTCCGGAGACCACGATTTGGGTCTAGTGGCACCTCCGGGAATAACTAAGTACGTACACTCATCTTTCTTACAATTTCTGAATTTCTTCTCCTCTTTTCTTCTACCCTTTTTTGGTTTCTCTGGAGATTTCAGATTTGTTTCGGATTTAGAACGCCACAGACTGTTATGTCTCTGTTTGCTATCAAATGAACAAATTGTTCTATTTTAACTGGCTAATTATGTATATTAATATATAAAAACAAACATACCTGGCATCTAAAATTCCTTGATATATTTCTAACTGTTTTAAAAACCCAGAATTTGGCTTAATGCAATTTCTTTTATTTTTGACAAACTCTAGAGCTTTATCTAAATTCCAGTCGTAGGCCTTCATGACATATGCTATCACCACAGATGCAGACCTGCTGATGCCCATCTTGCAGTGAACCAATACTTTAGAACCTTTATTCCTGTATATAAAAATAAACAAATAATTGAGTTTCCATTTAACATCAAAATAATTTTATAATTTAAATCTTTAACTCACTTGACTTTGGCAATATATTTGTAAGTTTTGTCCCAGTACTGCAGCATCTGTGTCGTCTCGTCGTCGTAGACGCGAATGTTTGAATAGTCGAACATACCGGGGAAGAAATTATCTATTTCTCTGGTCACATTCAAAATATGTCCGACTCTAAAAATAAAGTTAGGGAATCTTTTTATTACTTTCAGGTAGTAATAAATGATATTCAAAAAACAATGTATGAACAATTTATCAAAAACATCCAGTATCTGAAAGACACAAAATTGCATCAGTGACATAGTGGAACAATGTAGTACAATGCAAAGTAGCATCTACTGGCAGCTAAAGTGTTAATTAAATAACCCTTTCTCCAAGGTGCCACTCCAAAATTCCATGATGTGAATGTCACTAACTCAAAAGAAGCCACTAAATAACCAATGTTTTTTAAAATTAAAATTTAACTACGAATAGAAATAGTCACTAATGGTATGTAGTTAATGTGTATGTGAATTTGCACATACAATAACCTTTATGAAAATTTTGCTTCTAGACTAGCATCATCATTACACTGATCTACATTAAACAAATTTGTTAATTTTGTGAAATTCCGCTATGGTTGGCAATATGCTACCATCAATGAAAAAAAGATGGCCAAATTTGACATGCATTTTAACACAATCTCATTTAAATTCAAAGTACAGTCTGTTAGGGTGAATGCAGGATTTGGTGCATCAGTACAATTTTTGATAAAATAAAATAACTGATAACCATAACGAAATGAATATTGCATATTTATTATGTTGTAATATTCTGCACGATCAAAACTAAGTCTGAAGAGAAGCAGTATTACACAAAATTAGGGTTCTATCAAGTACCGGGCCTGGACTTGGATCATGGTGAGTAATTCTTGTGACTTAATGAAAGAGAAAGAATTACCAAAAAAAATCTAATAACAACATTTATGTAAGCAAAAATCCACAACAATATTTATTAGGTTGAACTTCTTGTTTATATATATATACAGTGGAACCTCGGTATACGTCTGCTTTAGAATATGTCCAATTCGGAATATGTCCTGTNGTGTTGTCCCTCTCTGTTGGTCTTCATATAAAAAAAATATATATATTTATGATTTCATTTTATAAAAACAATGCAGCATTTAAATTAAAAAATTATCTCTTAACTATTCTATCAAATTAAAATACTTTACATTTGAAAATTGCTTTTAATTTATCAAATATACATTAAATTTAAATTATGTCAAAATTCAGATTTTCATAATTTCTGTTCTGATTAGCATAATTATCCTTTATTGTAAAACAAGAAGATTCCAATACTCACTCTGAACGCACGGTGTCAGGAGAGAGGGGCCTTCGGGATACCAGATCATCCATGGCATGCCTAAAAAACAATTTAGACTTTACAAAACAACAAAAATAGGGGAAGACAATAAAAACAGTCACTTGCCATTCATTGAGGCAAGAGCGGTCAGACTCGATTCTCTTCTCATAGTTTTCAATCCACTGGTGAGTTCCTCCTCCAGCATAATAATTATACTCTCGAGCCCTGGCACTGGCCTTGTGCAATGTCTGGAGGGCAGACCTGAAATCAAGGGAAAATGTTTACGAGATGCACACGTCTCTATCGAAGTTTAAATTTATACATAGAAGCTAATTAATCTAGCACCTATGGAACTAGAAATCCAGATAATCAAAAATACCATATCATCAGATATTTTTGTATTTTCCCAAAATCTGATAAGTTATACATGATCAGAATGTTACAGACATCATACATTTTATATCAGTATATATGTTCAATCTCTTTACGTTTGATTAGTCCAAAGTTAATGCAATGCATAACTATAACATTTAACAATTTAAAATCTGCAAAAACATCAAAGAAAGTGTTAGTAACTGAACTCTTTAGCACATTATGCATTCATACAAATTCTAATTTGCAAAATACTAGTGTGCCAGATTATCATCAGATAATTCTGGATTATCGGCTACTTTTTAAAGAATGCTAGATTGCCAAACATTTTAGATTATTGAGTGTCAGAATGACAAATTTCTACTGTATTTTGAAATCAAATGCACAAAATTGAAGGTCTATGTCAGGGGTGGCCAACCTTTTGCATACCATGCGCCAATTTTTTGATAGACGAGTTCAGATGCGCAGTGGCGTACTGTGAGTGTTAGCAGCCAGGGGCAGAGAAAAATTTCGGCCACCCCTTAATCAGGTATTTCAATTTATAAGATGAAAATACACATTTGCCACAGAACAAGCAATGAAAAATGTGGTTGTAGTGTAGCTACCACCCGTATAAAATAATTCTATATGACATCAGTGGTGTACATGAACACGAATGCATCGTGTAACGTACTTTACCGAAAACAATGCCAGACAATTCAGTCTAAAGCAGATAGCCTTCACACTCTTCGGGAGCTACACACCTCTCTGTTGAACGGGTGTGTCGTCTTTTTATCTTGCTTACAAGTATAATGTCGCACTATCCTATTTACATATTTCAGCATTACAGGATCAGTCATGTATGCAAGTGAACGTTTTAATTTTGAATTTAGTTTATTGTTAGTTTTTGGGGGTTTTCTGTCCTTAAAAATATAATAAAATGTCCCCGATAAACAAGACAGTAATAACTAAAAATAACGCCCAAAACATAAAATAATGATTTGACTTTGATTTTTTACACCATTATAGTTTTATGTTGTTTTAATTTACATTGCAACAGCAAATATTTTTGTTTATAATGTCACAAACAGATATTTATTTTGTAGAAAGGTTTTCAAATTCCTTGATGTTACTAAAACTCGATGAAACTATTTTTGAAATTCTGCATCTTACGTGATGATTCTAAATTATGTAACTTCATAATGTACCCGTTTGATATCCAAACATTTCAGAAATAAATGATTAAAATTCAATTCTGATTATTTAAAAACCAACAAGATGACAATAACACCTATCGCTAGTCTAAATTATGTAATTAATTAATTATTATTAAAATAGTCCAGAAAATTTCAACAAGATTAGGTTATCTTGAATAAGCGCAGCATGGTCTTTTGAATTTATTTTGCGAGTAGAACTATTTTCTGCCATTTTACTCTCATATTTTGTCCTATTTTTCCTCATCTGATCTTATTTCTTGGCCACAAAGCAATGCATTCCTTTATCCTGTCTCCGAAGATTTCTGGTGTATTTCACCTGTTTAGTTTCAGAAACTGAATCGTTATATTCTTTGTTAACATGTAGAATTGATATTATCATCAAGTTTCACTAGTGAAGAACAATAACTTATTAGATCCTAGGGTTAAGAAGTTATAGATGTAAAAATTAGATTACATGTATTTTGTTTTTGGATGACGTGATATATTTTATGGAATGTCAAGTTATCAAGAATACAGTTGCCAGGACTCTACTGTATTACAGTTTACTTTGACTAAAAAATTCAAATTTATTTGGATATATTTAGTAAATACTTATTGTATTGCAATCTGGAACATATTTTCTACATAATATATTAGTTCAATGGGGAAATGATGTCCAACACGTTATAAGTTTTTTTTTTAGGAATGTAACTATGACTTATATCAAGCACTTAACAAATTCCAAGACAAATAACATTTGGAATATTATAAACAGATTTAGTCTGTATTATTATGCACACTAAATACTTTAATGTGCAATATAATATAGACCAAATACTCCTGTTCTGATAATCATCATATTGTTGTATTTATAATCTGTGGGTTATCTGTATTTAAGAGACGATTTAAAAAGGACAAGGGTTAGATGCCAATTTTAAATTGCAATTAGAATTCCTGCCTACAGAGCAATACAGAGCCATAGAAATGGGGTATGTGGTAAGATGGGTCATGATAAGGTTTTATTTTCGTTCCAGCAAGTTTCTGTGGATTACATGCATGGACATTCAATAAATCTCTTAATTTAGAAACTAATTTTCCTGAATTCTGCAATTTTCTATAATTTATTGCATAATTTAGCACACTCTCTCATTTGACCACTTTTATAATTAAAACTTTCTGAATATCTAATAATGCTTGCTCACCCATTGAATTTTAATTCTTCTAGATTGGACGCATTCCACTCGGATCCCAAATAGAGATATTCAAAGATTTCCGTGGGAGCATCCATCTGTCCGAGTATGGTTAGCATTTCTTGATCAATAAACGATTTGTATTCATTGAGATTCATGTCCAATTCTTCTTCTAATCTGTTACGAATCTTTAAAGAACTTTCGTTTAGTTTTCAGAGCTCATAAACAAAGACATAAATGAAAAGACGGCATCACTTACATATTTACTAGTCACTTCATCTAAATCTACAGACATCATCAACTCTTTAAGTTTTGTACGGATAAGCTTCTCTGTGTTGTCCCTCTCTGTTGGTCTTCATATAAAAAAAATATATATATTTATGATTTCATTTTATAAAAACAATGCAGCATTTAAATTAAAAAATTATCTCTTAACTATTCTATCAAATTAAAATACTTTACATTTGAAAATTGCTTTTAATTTATCAAATATACATTAAATTTAAATTATGTCAAAATTCAGATTTTCATAATTTCTGTTCTGATTAGCATAATTATCCTTTATTGTAAAACAAGAAGATTCCAATACTCACTCTGAACGCACGGTGTCAGGAGAGAGGGGCCTTCGGGATACCAGATCATCCATGGCATGCCTAAAAAACAATTTAGACTTTACAAAACAACAAAAATAGGGGAAGACAATAAAAACAGTCACTTGCCATTCATTGAGGCAAGAGCGGTCAGACTCGATTCTCTTCTCATAGTTTTCAATCCACTGGTGAGTTCCTCCTCCAGCATAATAATTATACTCTCGAGCCCTGGCACTGGCCTTGTGCAATGTCTGGAGGGCAGACCTGAAATCAAGGGAAAATGTTTACGAGATGCACACGTCTCTATCGAAGTTTAAATTTATACATAGAAGCTAATTAATCTAGCACCTATGGAACTAGAAATCCAGATAATCAAAAATACCATATCATCAGATATTTTTGTATTTTCCCAAAATCTGATAAGTTATACATGATCAGAATGTTACAGACATCATACATTTTATATCAGTATATATGTTCAATCTCTTTACGTTTGATTAGTCCAAAGTTAATGCAATGCATAACTATAACATTTAACAATTTAAAATCTGCAAAAACATCAAGGAAAGTGTTAGTAACTGAACTCTTTAGCACATTATGCATTCATACAAATTCTAATTTGCAAAATACTAGTGTGCCAGATTATCATCAGATAATTCTGGATTATCGGCTACTTTTTAAAGAATGCTAGATTGCCAAACATTTTAGATTATTGAGTGTCAGAATGACAAATTTCTACTGTATTTTGAAATCAAATGCACAAAATTGAAGGTCTATGTCAGGGGTGGCCAACCTTTTGCATACCATGCGCCAATTTTTTGATAGACGAGTTCAGATGCGCAGTGGCGTACTGTGAGTGTTAGCAGCCAGGGGCAGAGAAAAATTTCGGCCACCCCTTAATCAGGTATTTCAATTTATAAGATGAAAATACACATTTGCCACAGAACAAGCAATGAAAAATGTGGTTGTAGTGTAGCTACCACCCGTATAAAATAATTCTATATGACATCAGTGGTGTACATGAACACGAATGCATCGTGTAACGTACAAGCAAAAACAAAAAAAAAAAAAAAAAAAAAAAGGCAAAAGGCAATTGCACCGAAGTGCATATGCAATGAAGCCAACTCTGGCAATGTTGCTCGGAACCGACTGAAGCACCACTTGTAATCGTCCAATGTGCCAAGTCGCCACGTTTTGGCCACCCCTGGTCTATGTCATTCTCAACAAATGGAACAATTCCTTGGAAAGCATAAAAACATCTCAGAAATTCCAAAGGATCAATACCTACATCATCTAATAAATTACCTATATTATCAGTGTCTTAAAAGCAAATGGCTTAATTTATTGGGTATCACTAAACCAAAGGTTCTGAGAAAACAAGAAAGAGCAACACCCATGGAGACTGGACAGCTGCTGCAAAGTTGGACTCAGACTGGAAGAAGTTGAAAACCACCCAGCAACATCCCTATGGAGTCCACTCTCTCAAACCAAACAACATGGACACCACATGTGAAATGTTCAAATATCTGCAAGACATTACCTGTAGTCGTTACATGCTCTCTACCTGGTCTAAAAAATGAATCTTCCATAAACATTCATTTTCCCAACAAGAGAAGTTTTGCCTGCACCATCCACTAAGGTGGCGTATTCAACCAAGTCACATTGCAATGAGTCTGGAAAGCAGCAGGAGAAGGATGACACAATCAGGTAAGAACACAAGACTGACAAGATTCTCAGGCACAGAAATGGTAGAAAACCAATCAGATCTTTAGGCCTGGGAATTTTGAGGCTTTGCTGCAGAGGCTACACAGTTCTTGTAATGTTCCACAAATATTCCAGGACTGTCCAGCACATCTTGCTGAACTAACAACCGGAGGATGAACTCTTCTGTCTCTTGCTGCCTCCCTATTTCAGAGCAATTTTCGTGACAGTGATAAAATGACTGCCAGTTGATTTTGAGCAGACCTGCACCAGACAGTGCACAATCTCAATCTGCTCTGGATCTGGATGATGTTGGCCCCAGCATGTGAAGACAGACAAGCAGAAGTATGCATGGACCCAGTCATTTCTGGTTCTTTCTCTCCTCCCTCTAAAGACCAGAAGCAATAGAAAAATACATACCACATGGCCTGGACTGACACTGGCTTGAAGATGTGGTGTCTTCCAGTGGAACTGATGCTGAAGCCACTAAAACAAGTAATAAAAAAAGCAAAATTTTAATTCTCACCTGGAATTTGAAACCAACACCCACATGAAAAATGCACTCACCCATCTCCGTCCAGCGTGATGGAAGTGTCGGCCCAGACGGGCAGCACCAGGCCAACAGTGGTCTCAACATTGCAGTCGACACCCAGAAGACAGCTCTCCTCGGTGTCCTGACGACCCACGCAGGACACCACTACCAGATACCTCGTTCTTCCAGCATGCACACTCTCCAGCTTCACTGCCTGTCAGAGTCAAATTACATTTAAGAATACTTCTGAGAAAGTGAGGAGAGAAAGCAAGGTGGATACCTACCATTCTCAGCGTATCCGAAGAGCGTAAAAGGTAGAACATGGACTGGAGATGCCGTTGTATGTCACCAGCTGCAAAAGATATTCACTAGTTAAGAATTTAACCTTTCCCAAAACCTCTAGAAAACAAACGCACTTACCTCCGTTGTTTCTATTCTTTCTATAAACGTGCATGCACTCGTCGTGAGGCAAGACTATGGCGGCACCTTTGACCACAAAGTAGCATTCATTAAAGCTGAAAAAAATAATAAACAAACTTTTGGAGAAAAATTTAAATTACAATGTCATTGCCCGCTCCGTGGCACCAACGGCTAGCTTCCGAATGACACGAGCAAATCATTTTACAAAGGAAAATTTAGAGGCAGGACCAACGTAAGTAGTTATTTGCATTATATTTTAACAGATTAATGAAACAATTTATTCAATAATTCATTTTTAATTAAAAGTATTTAAATTTGTTCAATATATATTTTTAATCAAATCAAAACCCATTTAACCAGATTTCTGGAATATCCAGATTGATTCGGATAATCATTTCTATTTAAATTCTTACAGACTCATGGAAAAATTACCTTTTGTGACATTTACGAGGTCATCAAAATAGTATTTATGGTCTTAACAAACTATATCTACACAGAAATCATATTTATAAGAATAAAAATACATAATGTATGTACCAAGTAAATTTTATGTTCTTACATATGGAAATGGTAATGATGTTAAAATTACAAGTCGGTAAAGCTTGTAAGTTTATTTTCAGTCATTAAAAAGTATTTCCAGTATGGAATTTTAGACTTTAATTTCAATGCACCATTAATTTCAGTTTATCCGGACAAGCAGGATTCCACCGTACAAACAATATTTATTTATTTATTTATACAAGCAAATGGAAAGTCCGAATTTTAATATATAGGTTCTCAAATGCCCATTCCGAATATTTCTATGTATTAACAAAATAACTCGTAATATCTTAAGCTTACAGTGGTTCGAAATAATAAAATATGTAAAAAATCGCTGACCCTAAGCTATTTTGAAGATAGAAGACAAAAATGTTTAGTACCATTCGTTTGATTTGGTGTACGGTACAGTAAAAGCTACAAACGCGTATAGATAAGACAAAACACTAGCAGGAACGTGTACCACACGACAGTTTCCGAACTTAACCATTCCGATTTAACGTCCAAGGTCGTTTTAACACATTAAGTTCCATGATAGAGGGGCACAAAATGTCACCCCAGACCATCCTTTTTTTATGGACAAACGAGCACAAATACAAACATGATGGCCACTCAATATAATTTTGTCTGGGTTGCCAAAAAATATTTTTTCCTTAATTTTTAGGCACATTGTAGAATTGCAAGATGTGGCCCAAATGATTTTTTCCAATTACATTACACCACTCGTACGCTAATCGTCGGGTTTTGAATTTGACTACTGTAATCGAGGTTGCACAGAGATACAAATGGAAGGAAAATACAATAATCACTCAAATAATATATCTACTTTTTTCACCATTTACGTTCACCGAGGAAAAATAAGAATTGTTCTATGAATATATGTTTTTGCACGATATCATGCTTATTCGCATTCATTTCGGAAGGAAAAAATCAGAAATGGCAAATTTCACTTACATTTCCTATTTTTTTTTGCAGGGAAGGAAGTAAATTCCTATTAGTATTCTATCTTTAAAAACATTTACCGGGCAAAATAAAATTTCCATTTTCCAGGCCTGGCTCTAACCATTACTGAGGCCGGCACGTCGCAAGTAACACGGCACAGATTTCATCCAGCTTAACTCATTAAACGTCTCGACGGCCTCCGACGCGAACCGGGATGCACTCGGAGTGCCCGGGACCTGCCGCGTAAGACAAAACGCAGAGACCGGGAAAAAACTAACTTAAGTATGAATCAGTATAAATTAACAAGGCAGTGGCAGCCATATGATATACCTAAACAAAGATTTTATTAACACAGCATATACTTTGTCGGCTAGGCAAAACCTTTAGTACAGGTTCCGCTTTCAAAATTACTTATAATCGTCGATCTTTCAAGTATTTTATTATTTCGAACCACCATAAATTATTAAGTTTCGTTAATACGAATCGATCTTTAGGGGTCGATACGTATTAACGTCGATTGGCAAGGGTTTTCCAATCGACATCTCAGAAAAGAAAATTTAAATACTTTCCATTAGAGACGAATTACGTACAGTACCGGGATAAAACGTAACTCGGACGAGGGTACCGGCGTCGGTCTCACCACATAAACTTCGATCCGCAAGGTGATTGGCCGGCATCGTCGGTGGGGCTGGCCGTTGGGGAGACGGACAGGAATTAAATTTTAACACCCGAATCGATACCCGGAAGTCGGTGGCAGACGAATCGACCCGCCTCCCTCCATTTCGCCCGGTGGGAAGACGGACGAAGGGGAGGGGCCGTCTCGATTAATCGCCGACGAATCGATTACTTAGAAATTCCCGGAAAACGGGTAGAAATGCCGGGGACGTCCGGCCCTTCGGGCACGCCCCGAGTTTGCCAATGCCGTCGACGCGGTCGCCCGGGCAACGCGACCGGAAGTCCGACCGGTCGGCGGCGGAAAGAACTCGGTCGCAGACCCTCCGTCGCCGGTTGGGCGCGCAAAAGCGGCGAACGACGGACCCGATGCGGCGCCGTCTTTTAATTCCGTTCGTACAACGTTGTACGTATAAACGACACGTTCGATTCGGGCACTTTACTCCTCCCCTTCTTTCCCCACCGCCAGAAGCGCGAAGCCGCGGGATGGCGTGCGAGAGGGTCGACGACCCCGGGCGCAGAAATTTCCTTTCGTTACGCGGCCGTCGTTTTCCGTGTCGTCGAAATCGGGGCCGGGAGCGGAGGATCCGGTTTACTTTCTCTTCCCATCCCGTCGTTACGGACTCCGAACTTCCGACCCCCGTTTCGCGGGTCGAAGAGAAGTGCGCGCGCTCTCCTTTCGCCGGCGCTCGGTGGCGGAAAGCGGCATCGAAAATACCGCGTAAACGGAAGAAAATACCGAGAAATTCCGTCAATATTTCGTCTATTAATAAATGGAAGACAGAAACGATTCGACCCACATTCGTCGGGTCGCGATCTAGTTACGTTTTTCTATCCGCTTCGGCCAATTTCGTCCTTAACCTCGGACGTTACGGCACGCGACCCGAAACGCCGCGATCCGGGCCGAGGAAAACGAGAAAATGCTAATCGACGTAACTTCCGGAATCCCCCGCTCGGCGCAAAAAAAAAAACAATAACGACAGTTAATCGAGGGAGGGGGACGGCGTGAATCGAAAGCCAAAAGTCTGCCATCCGGCGGCAGAAGCGATTACAAACGCAAATAAGAAAAGTATTACGCTCTCGTCGGCGTCGTCTTTTCGGGAACGGAAAAAACGGAGAGACCGACGACGACGACGGAGCGGGAAGGTAACGCGTCGTCGAAGGACTCACCTTCGCTGCACCACGGAGCAATTCTTCGCTTCTCCTTCCTCTTTGTTGTCCGATCCTTCGGTCTCGTCCTGCAACGAGACAAACGTCCATCACTTTTGCTAAATGCCCGACACCCGGTCCATTCCCCCGACGGGCAGGGGGGCGACCACCCGTTTTACCGCCGTAGTTTCGTCCGAATGTCGGACACGCGACACACCGCTTCCTTTTCCGGACTTCTCCCCCGATTGTGGAAAAGTCTCGAGCGCTTGGCCTCCACCTTTCGGGCCCTACTCCCCTTCTGCAACTTATCTCTCGGACCCGGCCCGCTTGCTCACCCCCAAACTCCGTCGATCGCATTAGTCCACCCTAAAACGGACCGGGTCGTTGACGACTTTCCAGCTGTTCTGGGCACGCGCGACCCCGTATTAATTAATTAATCGGAGGACCGGTCGGAAAACTACTCGCGACCCCGACCGCAGACGGAAGGGGGCCTCTTACCTTTGTCCGGCACTTCCTCCTGTCCCTGAGGGAACGGAGGGGAAGGGCAACGACGCTCCTCTTCCGCCTTTTCCATCGGGGGGCGCGGCGTTTGGACGGCGACGACGGCGCGCTCGGTGTCAGAACGATCAGCATGACGCGCGATTCTCCTCCCGTCGACGCGTCTCGGCGGCCGAACGGGGTTTAACGGTAAGCTCTTCGTCGGCGCGCGCGACCGGTACTGGCGTGACGTCACGGAGACTGCGCCGTCGTTCGACCGGTGGCACCTTTCGAGCGGCACCTCCCGAGGTAGCGTCCGACGGCGTCGAACCCTGGTCCTTCCCTTTCCGACTGGAAGGTCGACGTTGCCGAATCGGCACGCACGCGCCACCTTTCTCCTTTGTTTTTGCGTCTCCGCCGCAAAATCCCCCCCCGGGTTCCTAATTAAAACGTGAAGATCCCGGCAAAGTGGGATCGTCGTAATCGGAACGATAACCGACAGCGTGTTGGCACTTCGTCTTTTTTTTACAATTCACGCGCAGTCATGTCTTTGTATTGTTTTCGCACGCGTCTAACAGGTTTTCTTTTAGTGTCGCGTCGCGAAAGACTTCCACGCGGAGCGAGCCGAATTCCAAGAAGGCTTCGACTTACGACTGGATCTTGCGCAACTTATAAATTAATGTTTATAAATAGAACGGAGCGTAAAGCAACAAAGAAACTGTTAAAATCATATTAAACAGTAGTTCACTTTCCTCCAAACTAAATTTAGTTCGATCGACGACGTCGCTTTCCCCTTTCTTTCTAGTCACGCGCGAATTATGAAGGTCTGTCGCATTAAGGTTAAGGAATCAAACTTCCTGCGAAAGGTGCGCAGTTAGGGTTTCTCCCAACCACCTTTTAACAAAAGCTGCAAACTATCCTTTCCGACGTAACCTGGTAGTTTCGAATTTATTTATAATTCGCTGCGGATTTCTTTACGTAGCGAGGGGGTCGAAGGTCGCGGCCAGTGTAGGATTTCGAATCTGTCACCCCCCACATTTCGGTCGCTCGTTCGACCCCTTCCTTAGGCGGATAACCCTTAAAAGCGTCGAAAATGACGACGTAAACTCGGCCATGCCTACGCCGAACACCATCTTCTATTCTTTCCTTTGTTACCGTCGACCGTAATGGCCCGAAACAATAAAGTTCGGAATACTACTCGAACTGTTTTTACCCGAATTAACGTAAAAATCGGCCATCCGTTACGGAGAGAGTGGGACGGTTCTGCTCCATTTTTTTCCCCTTCTTGTTTTTTTTTTCTTCTTTTCTCTTTTGTTTTCCCGCAGTACCTTCTTACCTTCGCTTGTTTTGTTTAAAAGCGGTGTCTAAACCGGCGTCACTTCCGGTTGAGAAACAAAAAGTGGAACGTGCGCGAGAACCGAGGATATTGCTTTTGTGTCGAAGGTGCTCGTCCCCGTCGTTCGACGCAGAACAAAGAGCCGATGCCGAATCTCTGAATTATTGCCAGAAAATGAAAGTTTACACTGGGTTATACGCACGGTAAACAGAATTTAATCGTTTCGATGTTTTCCTAACCGAAAAAAATAAGCTTTTATAAAGACACTACGCATCGACTTATCGTAGTTTTCCACGCTTTTAATGAGCCAAAATATGGTAAATAACGCAATACGTAACGATCGAAACGTTTCTGTAAGAGCATTTCGTAACAAAGACACGATTAAACTAATAATAAAAAGAAAAAAAGTGGAGGAGATTATGATATTTAGGTCGAGAGAGAGAGATTTTGCCAGTAACAAATCCGACTAAAACACCGGAATGGTCGATCCAAAATAGACTAAAAATGTCACACCGAGAAATCGTTACGGGAACGTAACGAAAAAAATTGCCAAATTCGGTTTTTGATGCGATTCCAAAAAACACTACATTGCCACATTTGGGGATAACGCGTGAGAGGATGCGATTCTACACGAGAATAAAGCTACTACTGTACTTCTATGTACACCCTGTACAAAACTAAGTGTTTCTAATAGAAAATTAACTACAACATTTGCACCTTTCAGCATTTTCAATCCTCGCATAAAGGCTATTTTGCCGAACACTTCTGCCACCATCTTTTTAATTAACCGTAAAAAAGCGCTAACGGGGATGGACCGAGGAAAGGAAAAAATAAAATAAATAAATAAATAAATAATACACTGGAGGTCAATATCTATGTCAGAAATTTGCAATTTAGGTGAGACTAATAAGAGCATCGCTAATTACTAGATTTCTTTCGGATCGTAGCGTGTTGACCGGCATGACCGGTCATGCAACCGTCAGAAAAAAAAAGAAAAAGAAAACAATAATAATACTTGGATGCACACAACAAAAGGCTCGGATGCACTCGTAAAATTATTTATATATCAAAACTGGAGGTGACCCAAATTTCCACATAAATCGAGCAAAAGTAAGGAAGTTCGAGACGTTCAGAAATCGCGTACTTTCTTTGCGTCAGAGAGAAATACGTCATTCGAAGGATCCAAATTTTGGGGCAAACTCCACTTCCGGTAGTCCTCGAGGATTATTAACTATTGTATATGTAGCGCACGGGAATTGTAATCACATTTAATCCCGTTTAAGTTCGAGAATTAGGTCCTTCCAACTGTGGCACAACTCGGGAATTTTCACGAATTGCAATAAAATAAAAAAAAACACTTCATTAATTCTTGCGTATTATTAAAAGCGAGAAAGTTACGTACGGTGTGGCATTAGGAACGTTTCGAGAAATGTTACGGTAATGACGTTACGCGTTACTAGATGGCACTAACGCGCGAAACCAGTCGGTCCGGAGGTTCTTAAAGCGCGAAGTCGTGGTTATTTATTAGGAGACAGCGAATGCCAGTCGAGGGCATCGACTTCTTTACACAATTTTCTAGTCTCCACCCCCTAGAAAATCATAATGACACTTATTAAACAAAGAAAAGCAATCCGCGCTACGTGTTAATTGTTACGGACGAGTGAACTGTCCAGTTTTGGAGGGTAACCACCTACGGAACGAGTTTGTTACGTAGGGGCCTACGCATTCGAAACATAACACACTTCCAAGTCAGAGCTGTTATAGAATTACCGTTTAAGTAGTCGAACTATAAAAGGGTGAATGGAGAAGATGGCCTCCGGCTATTATCTTTAATTTCATCACGTTCGGCCCTCCCATTCTAGTATGGTACGATTTTCCGAGAGGAGGCGAAAAGATTGATAAACTAGACTGACCCATCTCGGATAAACACTAATATTAGATTTCCTACTTAGTACACAGCGCGGAAGGGTCGAGAGGAGCGGAAGACGTTGCAAATTTATCGTCTCGTCGTTGGGGTGGAGTCAGTTAAGGGTTCAGATTCGCTTCATATAAAAGCGATCGCTCCGACTACGCCCTGGGATAACCCTGGAACGAGGAAACTTCGCCGGTATTGTCTACCATTGTCTGAAGAATTGGATTTTTATCTGTCTGAACGATTGTCGAGATCGGTCGTGGTGTAACGGTTTTGAAAATAATGAAGGTGAAATTCGGCCAGATGAATGGGTAGCGAAACTGATTCGCTCGACTAAGACAGAAGAGTGAGAGCATTACAATCATTTTAAACACATTTAAGAATTACGGAGAGTACTTAGCGATCAACTACTCTGAACGACCTAATTTTAAAATTGTTCTCGTTCCTTCGTTTCGAATGTGTGTCTCGTCCAATGTTAAACCGTGAATTTTAGGTCTCGACAAAAGTGAAACGTATGCGAAAACGTCACAAAGAGCAGATTAATTTGCATAAAAAACGCGTGTAAATCTCGTTCCATCGCAGAATAACAAAAGAACAACTTAATTTTATTTCAACTGCCGCATATATTCGAGTTAAATGTGGTACCAATTATTGAGAATTGAAGATAATTTATGTAATAATATTTAATTAAATTTTATGACCGACGAACTATGTCTTCAACGCGAAGATTCCCATCTGATGATGCATCCGGGTGGAAAATAAAGCATTAACTTGCAGAAAAATCAAAGATCGGAAGCTAAACTTGAAAATAAGAGAAAAACCAATTTATAAGATAGAAATCTCTGCAGTGTTTCGCCACCGAAATTAATTCTTTCGTAACAAGAATTTCACAAAAACAGACTAAACAGAGGGGGGAAAAGTCCCGAGGTTGCGGTTAAATTAATGGAAATTATATCACACACTTATACAATTTAATTTAAGTCACGGTTAACTAAAGACGGATGAATCATTATGAGTCATGCACCATTCCATATTGTATTGCCCTCTTTTTTTATGATCTTTATCAACTAGAATCTCCTACAAAGTGTAGAAAGCGAGACACTTTAAGGCAAGTTACTGTGACGACTCCTTACAGATGAAAAAGAACAAACGATTTCCAACAGAAGAATTCAAAAAGAGAGCTTTCTAAATGTAGATTATAAAAACAAATAATCGAAACGATTCTTTACAATAAATCGCAGTCTGGATCTTCGTGATTTTTTAATCCTTTCTGAAAGGAAGAGGGATCATAAATTGGAATTTCTCTTAAACAAAATTCTAAAACCAATAAACTTCTAAAACATCTGTTCGACTAATCGGCAGCAATTGTGGGGAGGGGGGGAAAACAGTCGAAATCGTATTTTGGAGCACGGATTTCGTAAACAGAACCTTCGCGAACTACTGGCTCGATAGTAATTTTTAAATGACATTTTTCATCCTCTCCACCGATGCTACTCGACTCCCAACACCTTAAGTTAGTCATCCCACCGTTAACATAAGTAACATGGCAAAGAGCCAACACACTGCAGTCGAAATTCCCTCGCAACTATTGTCATCACATACACAAGTTAAGCCGCAATCTGCAGCAGCAGCGAGTGGAAAAATATGTCAAGCGAACAGAATACGTGAGAAACCAGTCGAACTCATAATAATAATAATAAAACTATATTATTAGACTCGTAATTAAAAACACGACTCGAAAAAAAAAGAACCTTAATGATAGATAACTTCTAACCCATTAATATTGTTTCCTACATCATCACGAATCAAGGTTTTAAGTATACGGGAGTAACCTAATTACATAATTCGCACGTGTGCCCTACGTTAAGAACCCGATTTAGATTGTTTGCATTTACGTCTTTACGCTCGAATATCACGCAATTTGTTAAGAGATTATTTCGATTAAGCATTTTTCCTAATTTAGTAACAAGTACTTCTGCCACGACTTTCCTTAAAATTCTCGTCTAACGGGCTTCTACATTTCGGTATGCATCTACAGTATAAGGTTTGCATCTTCGATGAATGATCTTACAGAATTCTTTTTAAATTTATATAACTGTTGTATTATGCACGGGTACAGGAATTGTTCGCCATAAAAGGTCGAGTTTTCCTATTTAAATCTGATAAAAGTGGGGAAAAAAGGAACGAATAAAAACTTCTAGTGACCGAAAAAAAAACATCACGCTTAAGTGATTTTTCTTCCAATTTTGGAGTCGTTGGGAGGGAGTAACATCATATCAAACAGGAAATAGGAAGATGTGCGACTTCCACCAGCCAGGAAGTAAATGTATCTTGTGTAAATGTTCTTTGTGTCAAGACAGATGTTATTACACACTTTATTTAACGTTTACACGATTGTAATTATCACAATTATGCTATAAAAAACACTAATGTGTGTATGTGTATGTATAATATAACATGGTATCGCCCACTCTCGTTAGCTTTACTATATACGGGGAAAAAAAATTATATCATCAGAAGTATCGTGTTAACTCGCGAAACAAACACCGTATCTTATTTCATAATGTGATAAGACTAGATAAATTATATAAGCACCATCACCGCGAATTTATATTTAAAAAAAAAATCTAAATAAATAATCTTCTAAAACAATCTCCCCACTTTATCTGTAGCAAGTGCACTTTAAAATTTTGGCAGGTACTTTACAGAGGATTTTTTTAAAAAAAAATTCATCTCCAGTCTTATCCTCCCTCTTGCATAAACATTTCTAGAACTTTTAAAAAACATGACACAGTTCCACTGCCCTAATAAGACAATCCCACCTTTAAAAAAAAAACACACATATATATATACTATATATAAATATATGTACATGCCAGACGACCAAATCTACCCACTTAAAAGAACAATATGTATAAATATAGAATCATCCCCACGCACTTATTTTGCAAACTAAGCACATCCAGCCGGTCCAACCTACAAACATGGAGAAATAAAACGCCAACAGGGAGCTGTCATTCATGCTGCCAGTACATGACACTTATCTCAAGACAAAAAAATAAATAAATAAAAATAAAGGCTGCTCCGGTTTGATCTCCTATAATCTAGACAATTATTTAATTCCGTGTACCATTAAATAAGGAAAGTTCATCCAATTTTCTCATTATTAAAAGTCCTGTTTCTTGACTGATTATCTGTGAAGATAAAAGAAAGAAAGAAAAAAGATTTGGAAAGAAAAGAGTAGAAGCTAACCCAACCGAGCATAAAAGGTAAATTTTATTTTCTACTGATGTTAAAAACTGATATTTACCTATTTCCTGATTTAAAGGCTATTAACATTTTAAACAGAGGAAGAAAAAAAATGGTGCAACAGCATTTCCTAACAAATAGGAACAAATTCCTATTGCCGCAGAAATGTTTTATATAATATTTCTGCGGCAGTAGCCAAATCGAATATTCTAAATTATTATTTTAAAAATAATAAACAAGATAAAACTGGAACAAACTGTCGAAAAGGTGCAATGTATAGTACAGTACATCCTCTTTTATTTTAAGTCATATAATGATGAGCTTGATTTAACAAATTAAGTAATTTATCAAATGAGAAAATTCATGCTTTAAGACAAAATATTCAAAAATCAAAATTAGAAAAACACTTCACTTTTATATGTAGTGTATGTTGGTGGTAATCACACTTGCCAAACTTGTTCTATTTTCAGAATGCTGATAGTATAACATTTGAAATGAATTGCATCCAGTTTATTAGTATGTATATGTATATATACATGCTAAATAATCTTAAATCTGGTTTAATAAATCGATCTAGAAAATTAATATAATCCAATTAACTTAATTGTTTCCTACGATTTATATTTAACAGGTGAACAGAGTTCAAGGTTACTCCAGAATTTCCGAGATATTTTCTCACCGAAGCATTTAACTAAAACGTGAAGTGTCCGCCTTCCTAAATTAGTTTTTTAATTTAATTTTTTACTAATTAAATATATAATTTTTGTTTTTACACTTTAATCGTAAATACTTTAATTGTATATCTTAAAATGTAACAATTATAGTTCCAAAACAGGTTGATAAGAGAGTTTATGATTATAAAATAAATGGATTTAATGTTGTTATTTTTTAATTTCACACACATCCAACGTGTTTAAATTATTATTCTTGAGATTAATTATACTTGTAAAAACATTACTTACAAGTATAACATATTAAATACTTGTAAATAATGTTTTTACAGCATTTGTGTGTGTGCATTTTCTATAAATGTAAAGTTAGAGGTGAGAAACTCAAGATTTTTGTGTGAATTTAATGATCTGTGACATTTCATTATTGTTTTATTGAAAAATTTGACTTAAAGCCCAATTAAACTACTTAAAGGTATCAAACTAATTACACTATAGCAAAGTAAACTTTATGCTTATTAAACAGACATTTTGATCTTGTGACCTAAATTGTAATAGTTCAAGATCTAAAAATGGGTCTTGTCTTCATTACATTAATACCATACTAAGTACTAGAATACTACACACTACAAAAAATTGAATCTGCTAATTACGTCTTTTTAAAAGAAATTTCTCAGATTCTAAATATTTGAAACACTTCTAGAATTTAATTCTGGACAGAATATACAGTCAAATATGAGTTAACTTAACCTACACTTTTTCAGATAGGCTAATGGACTGTATAATCTCTTACCGAGAAACACAAATGACACCTGACCACTTTTTATTAGCACCAT